GGCAGTCATACACGACAAACTCAAACTAGTAGAGACCCACGGTTATTAATCAGGACAGACTCTGTACATGGCGACTACTTGCCACAATAAGAATAAGTCTACCTCTGATTGCGCATGCGCTTACGTCAACCTCTACTACCCACAATAGGTCTAGAGGTCTACTACCTGTGCTTACCTCTGCTTCAGTCATTCATTCGCGTCTCAAATAATCTTCCTAGTTGACCGACAAGACGAAACAGGTCATCCATAATGTAACTTGCCACCGCAGCTGCCGCTGTGCCAATCTCCATCGCGGCTAGCTGTTCGGGAAGAAGGCCATATCTTCCATTGTGCACCAAGATCTCTACTTAGAGGAGCAGGTCGTGGGAAGTGACGACGATGAAAATGATGACAATGATGATTGTGCCTAATGGTAATGGTCTTAATGATCTAGGGATGTTATCAAAGTCCTGTCTTTATCCTCCTTTGCAAGATGGGGAGAAAAGGTATAATGAATGTGTTATTTGAGGGAGATCACTCTATTTTTAATCGAAATTACTGTCTTTGCAACTCATTTGAAATTCTACTCCAAACAAGCGTGCTGAGTCGTAGGAAAGAGAACAGCTTTAGTTTACAACAAATAAAATCACAACTATGCCAATAGTAACGCTTTGTCACAAGAATTATCGCTTTAGCAGTAGTCTCGTTGTCGCAGTAGAAGTCTCGTTGTAGCAGAAAAAGCAGCTGCCTGATTTGATTTGCAATTAATTACATAGTTACTTAGTTTGTTCGTTAGTTTGTTAGTATGACTAATCCTCAATTAGTTTGTTAGTCAGTTTATGAGTGGCGTCTATTCCAACTAGGCAGACCATCACGACTATCCCTTTCCCCTTAAAGGCGTATAGCGTTAGGGGGAGCGTCGACGATCTGATAGATGCAAAAAATCATCATCCATAGACTACAATTACTGAGCTAGTGTTAGTGAATGTGACTGTATTTACTTTCACGCCCCTGCTTAAGTTAGTCCGGCTTCGAGGTTCTTGCGTGTGATTCCCGTGCTCCCTTTCTGCCCTCTCAATGGGATCTCCTTATCAGGCTTGTCCCAAAATTCAGCAATTTTTAGAGAGGTTCAGTCCCAGACCCAGTTGTTCACGAAGGTTAAAAATCATAATATTCACACGTAGATGATATTCCCATTTCCACGATGTATGAGACGAGGCTACGTAAACGTAATTTTTGATTTGCTGTAGCTGATGTCCTTGTGATAGAAGTGCTGGGGACATCATAAGCTAACTTACTCTTTTGATGTGTACTGGTGACACAGAGAAAGCATGTATCTCACAGAAGCAAAGAGAACTTCTATATTAGACAGCACAATATTGAGAGATCTTCATGAGAAGAAGATGCAGATCCACTTAATATCAGAAAATGCAGTGATTCTGATTTACCATCCTTAATATCGTTTCTGCGGGTATGGGCTCGTGCTGAGGCTTGCCTTCCCCGCCCGGCGGCGTAGAGCCCGGCTGTGCTAGCGGCTGATAATCTCCAGGCTGTGGTGGCGTAGCCTCGTTTCCCTCTTCATCCTGTTGCGCCTCGTCGGCAGCCTGTTGTGCACCGTCTCCACCCTGTTGCGCCTCGGCTCCACCCTGTTGCGCGCTGTCGGCAGCCTGTTGTGCACCGTCTCCACCCTGTTGCGCCTCGGCTCCACCCTGTTGCGCGCTGTCGGCAGCCTGTTGCGCCTTGTCTGCAGCCTGTTGCGCCTCGGCTCCACCCTGTTGCGCGGGCGGGGCGCCATCGCTAAGGTGTGATATTAGAGGACACTGACAACTGTGCCACATCATCTTCTTCATTAGGTCGACAGTGTCTTAGGTTAAAGGACCTTGCACTTATTACTTCAAGAGGCTCACGCTCAGTCACTGTCACAGGGAGTACAATAATTAGGCACACGCCACTTACAACACTACGTATCAATTTTAGATACAGAGAAGTGGCTGGATGTTCTCGCTCTGCTCCTTCGATATCAATCTGGTATTCATTTTTATAAGTCTCAGTAGCAGTACTATCTTGGTCTTAAGGAAGCAGGTTCCTGCTCTTTACTTTTGGCTTTACTATCGAGTCTCGATTCCGGATTCGCATCTGGATCGCCTTCCTGACCCAAGAAGCACGAGCCACCTCCTGCATCGCCAGGATCAACTCCTGAAGTGTTAAAGCACTGGGTCCCTTCGAATCTGCTGCTCTTGTTCCCAGTGTTAGAGCTTTGCCCAGTTTAATATCCCTAATATACAGCATCAGAATCCGTGTAAATGTCTTACTAGTAGCATAGGAATCTTCCGTATGTCTTTTTACTACAACTAGCATATGAATCTTCCGTATGAATGTCTTACTACTAGGATAGGCCGAATTTACTACTAGGATATTCCGTATGCCTTACTATGTCGTCCCTCGTACTATTGGGATGCACACTGATTCTGATGCTGATAGAAGAGAAGATGGATTCGCAGGACAATAGGTAGTAGATAATAGCTTGTGGTCGTGCTACCTGCATTTGCATACTCTTGAAGAGATCACTTATAGTCCTTCTCGGCAATCTTCACAATCATGAGGGATCATACTTATAGTATACATAGGATAGAAGTAGTGGTATACTTACACATAGCTATAGGATAGTAGTGGTGGAGGAAACCCAACTAGGAAGAAGCAGAAGGAGAAGCAGAAGAAGCAGAAGAAGCAGAAGAAAGAGTAGTGGTAGAAGTAGTAGTAAACCCAATCCAGGGGTACATCTTACATGATCTAGAATGCTAATTTGGGAGAAGCCCGTAACAGTGATGTCCGGCAGATCTGGATAGCTCGCTGCCACATCTTTCTCAGCTACGATCTCCAAGAGAAGGTCTGAAAAAGCCGCCACGTGGAGGCAAAAACCCAACCACAACTTAAATCTCATCTTTTGATAATGTATGAAAGGTGGAGTTTAGGGATGTGGAGGGTATAAATTCAACTTGGTTATTGTGTAGTAGAGTTTTGCTTCTCATTTTACTACAAAAAAGTCAAAAGGCCTTGTTCAGCGACCATGATCCTTCTTGGGGACGATGGGAAGAGGGTCCTCCCCGCTCCGTACATTAAAAATATTAATTCTACAAACTAAGAAAACTAATAGTACTACCCCCTTGTTACAGTTAGAAGACTATTGAAAATAAGTGAGAGAAAAATTTTCAAATATGTTACATCCTCTATCTCCATATCTCGATGGCCAATCTTGTCCGCCGTCTTTTTCTGTCTTGCAGAAACCGAAAAAGAAGGTAGTGGCTCGTTCATCGCCTGAAGAAAAAGTTCAACTTGGAACTATTAAAGTAGAAAGGCTGAAAATGGTCAAGACAGGTTGATATTAAGTAGTATAGGGGATGAAGGAACAAGTAGAAGAAGTTGTAGGCTGTAATTGAACTAAAGGAGGTTGATGACATTGACACGACTCTAAAATAGTAAAAGTCTATCAAACATTGTCGTGATAGTACAACTGGTTGAAGGGACCACATCGCAAAGGAAAAAGAGCCTCGCCCCACTAAGAAAGAAGAAGTCTAAAAATAAGACCATGTTTAAGTACAACTTCTAGTTTTGTCGGCTACTGCGTCTGTGTAAAGTACAACAAGAACTAGTCCTTTACGTCTGTGTAAAGTACAAGAACCAGGTCTATTCGCTCCATGCAAAGTACAAGAACTAGTCCTCTACGTCTGTGTAAAGTACAAAAGAACTAGTCCTCTACGTCTGTGTAAAGTACAAGAACCAGGTCTATTCGCTCTATGCAAAGTACAAGAACTAGGTCTATTCGCTCTATGCAAAGTACAAGAACTAGTCCTCTACGTCTGTGTAAAGTACAAGAACTAGTCTTCTACGTCTGTGCAAAGTACAAGAACCAGGTCTATTCGCTCTATGCAAAGTGCAAGAACTATGAATGGTTCCGGTATTTGGTAACCTGAATTTGATCATAAGGGAAAACAAGAGGAGAACCCTTAGGATCAAATTCAGGTTACCAAATACCAGAACCATACAAACTAGTCCTCTACTACGTCTGTGTAAAATACAAGAACTACTCCTCTACGTCTGTGTAAAGTACAAGAACTACTCCTCTACGTCTGTGTAAAGTACAAGAACTACTCCTCTACGTCTGTGTAAAGTACAGTAATTGCCATCTCGTCTCGCGTTGCAGGTCAGGAGGGACCACTCCCGACACCACTAGATCCGCAGAAGGGCTCTGGAGGTTCTGCAAAGTTTTATTCAGAGCGTCCTCGTCTCTCTGTCCACGATCCGCAGCACGACCCGCCTTTCTGTCCACGACCCGCCTTTCTGTACTAGCCTAGCAGTTTTCTTCTGTCGACGACTTTGTAGCTTAGTAGTAAGTAGTTGTGCAACTGTCGTAGAACTTCTACGGTAGAAGTAGTTGTGCAACTGTCGTAGAAGTAGTTGTGCAACTCTAACTGTCGTAGAAGTAGTTGTGCAACTGTCGTAGAGGTAGTGGCTCAACCTCCACCGGTGCTCCGCTTGGATGCAGGAGTCCTCTAGGTGTATTCAGCTAATGGAGAATTCATCTTGCATCATATCATGGCGTTGACAGTTTCTCTAGAAGCTGCTAGAAAACTCAAAAGCCTAAGATATGTGTCTTGGTTGAGTAGAGTTCAGACTCAGACACTACTAAGTGAGAATAAACAATAAACGATATTACACAAAAATATTCCCTCTCTATTCACCTACTTCTAAGAGTGGTCACTCCCTCAACCTCACATCACTCTCTGACTGAAGACCAAATGGTTTCGTTTCAAAGTCTTCGGCCAAAAGACCAAAGCACCAGAAGCTTCATCTCAGGTCTCTCCTCCTGTAGTGAGCCTCTATTCATTCATTCATTCATTTACCTGTTCTGGAGGTATCTTTTGACTCTGAGCGACATATCACTTAATTAGTGCTTCTTCTCTTTCTTCTTCTCATCTTCCTGATGAGCAAATCTCTAAGAACCCCTCTTCTTGTTGTGAGCCTCTATGTCTAAGTCTATTTCCACCGTTCTGCCTTTACATCAATTTCAATCTGTCTTCCTCCTGATCCTTTTCTCCTGTGACATTTTTCAGCCTCTATTGGGACCTTCATCAATCAAAAATTCCTTCTCCTCTCCTCCACGGCATGTGGTGAACAAAGAACAGCATGGGGCCCCACATTTGCTGGTTTGTTCTTCTCCTTTTCGTGCCTAATTATATAAATATTGAGCTGCTTATAATATTATCTTAGATAGTTGAAAAATGTAACTAGTCACATTTGACATGAAAAAAATACGACGTTTCCACAAGAACGTCCTCACAGTATGATTCAACAAGAACGTCCTCACAGAGGTCGTATTTGATATAACATCTTATCATCATCTCAAGGATGAACTACAATTTCTACTGTCCTCTGGTGTGGTGCTCATGAAATAGTGTCCCTTGATGGTGCGTCCATTCGATCGTGTCCGCTACTATGTTTCATGTCCAGTCCATCGTGTCCGCTATGCTCTAGAAGCTGTACTCCGCAGCCTTTCAGTATGATTCAACAAGAACGTCCTCACAGTGGTTGCGCGGCTCGTGCAGTTCACGACCCGTGCAGTCGGACTCGTTTTCGTTCTAGAGCGGCAGGAGTCGCACTGGTAGATTAAATAGTCGTCGTAGTTGTAGTTGTGCCGTCGCAGTAGAGTGCTTACAACTTCTCAAACGGGAGCAGCCAAGCTGGAGCACGCGCCACCATCTCTTAAGGGCTGCACCACTCTAGGGATAGAGGATAGCTGTACACGTACAAGATTTTTTTTGGATTTTTCCCGAAGTAGAGGGAGCTAACAGAGATTCCTTGTTAAGCTCTGTCGGAGGCTGACTCCCTTGCACTCTCGCGGAGCTGAGAGGGGTCTCGCTCTGGGCCAAGCCCTCGCAGACAGCTATGCCGACCTTCCCCAAACACCCCCAGGCCCGTCGCCTTTTCCACCGGCTCCGCGACGTTACCCCGGCGCCATGCTTGAAAATTAGGACCCTTACTTTCGTGATTTTTTTTGGATTTTTCCCGAGGTAGAGGAAGCTAACAGAGATTCCTATGTGGATTTTTTTTTGGATTGTGACAGATGATCCAGCTGACTCCCTCATTCGACCACCCAAAAAGAAGCGACTTCCTCATTCGACCACTCGTCACGTGCCAGTCGATTGTCACTCGCTTGGCATACCCTTGACTCACTCGTCAGATAGACTTTTTTCACTTCACCCTCGTCAATTTTTGCATCACAAGACAACTGTGCCTCCACTGGTCGATTGTGCTACCACCATAATGTTCACGTTCAGAATCTTCAGATGAAAAGAGTGAATACTTACAGTCAGAAGAGGACACTCCTCTTCATCTTGGAATCTTTTCATTCAAATTTTCACTCATCACGGCTATGGTGCATTTCCCTACATTTGGCTCTAGTCCTCGTCTACATGGAGTCTCGTTTTCCTTCGTTTCCATTATAAATGATAAAAAACCAACGGTAGTGCTGGGTAAATAAAATCGCCATCATGGAATCTTATTTTTTCGAATCTTAATCTTTACACCTGCTCGTACTCCTCATAGGAGTCGTGACACTCCTTCTCATACTGCTCACGAGTGACACTCCTTGTTACTAGAATTGTCTTTCTAGTATCTGTGCAAAATAAAAAACGATAGCATTAATGATAGTCTTCGACTTCGTTCTCAATCTTTGAATAGCATGTAGCGCTGGATGCTTCTCTACTTTTTTCGTTGTCATACACTAGAATTCTAGTTTCATAAACAGCAAAACTGTACTCCTAACCGTCTGATGGGTGAAAAAGAATTTTTGAGTTTCGTAAACAGCAAAATTGTAATCCTAACCGCCTCGTGGGTGAAAAAGAATTTTTGAGTTTTATAAACAAAAGAGTTGTGATCCTGATAGGTTAATGGGTGAACAAGAATTTTTGAGTTTTATAAACAAAAGAGTTGTGATTTTAATAGGTTAATGGGTGAACAAGAATTTTTGAGTTTTACAAACAGCAAAATTGAAGTCCTCTGATGACTGCCATCGATGTTTCATGTATACTTCTCTGTAACGGTAGAAACGTCGTTTCTTGTCTGAGAAGAGTACGACGCGCCGTGGCTTCTTGCCCGTCGAAGAGGAGAAGGCCGCTCTTAATCAAAAAACACTTGTTCCTGCTTGGTGCTTCTACTTAGTGCTTGGTACTTCTACATCTACTTACATTCTCTTCTGAAAACAGTTTCTGCTTGTTGCGCGTCGAAGAGTACTACGCGCCGAGGCTTCTTGCCCGTGGTCGCAGAGGCGAAGATCGCTCTTAAATAAAAAACACTTGTTCCTGCTTGGTGCTTGTACTTAATGCTTGGTACTTCTAGTTACATTCTTCTCCTGAAAAAACTTTCAGAAAACTCTTCCTGCTTGGTAATTCTACTTTAGTCAAAACATGCTTGTTCTGTCTCTCCTGGTGTCAATCATTTCAAAAATTTCATCTCACTAGGATTTCTCAATATCTTCAAAACTGCGCCTTCTCTCCTGTACAACTAGCGCAAACAAACTACATCTTGTTCTCTTGCATCACAAAACGACTTTCAGCAATCAACACGACGACACCACGCTACTTTTTCTAGTATGATAGTTGTATTCTTTTATCCTAACGAAAAATATCACAAAACATCTCTTGACGACCCTTGCCACTCTTGACATTCACTCTTGACTCTCTTTCTCTATATACTGCCAATCTAGTATCATGTGACTATTCTATTTTTTCTCACGACTCTATTACTTCCTATTGGAACCCCCTCCAATCTGACTAGGACCCTCTTCAGCCTAACTATCACCCCCTCCAGCCCGACTATCTATCACCTTCGACATAGCCTAATCAATACCACGACCCTTGACACAGCCCGACTATCACCTAATGAATAGCCCTCCTCCAGCCTGACATTTCTCCTTTGATAGTCCACCTCTGAGTCCAACCCTTGATTTCCACTATCACTGATACCCACTGCACAATGACGATGAAGTTATCACTGATCACTGATACGTAGTCCAACCCGACTATCACTGATTCAGTCATACCCTGAGTCCAAACCGATTATCACTGATTGAATACCCTGAGTCCAACCCGACTATCACGATTAATACTATGTATCTCTAATACTTCAGAGACTATATACCTCTGAGACTTCGATATCGATGCGCAGGATTCACAACCTAACCTAACCATGAAGTCCTCTCCGTCAGACAAAGTCCTCTACACCCCTTCACCTTCAGTCCTACCCCAACGATCAGCGATACTAGTGGTCCACGATCGTTCGCCCTCCCTTAAGACATGTCTCTGTCTAGTTCGCGGCTTTCATCGCTCCTCCGACGCGATGGAGGGTCACCTACTGCTCTATCATGATCCTCCACCCTCCTAGTACCGTGTACCCCTCTACCCGATCAGCGATTGTTCACCTTCCTTCCCTCCACACATTCCTACCCTATCAGCGAAACTAGTTCACCCCTTCACCTTCCTTCTACCCTCGTCTCTACTTCTGTGATAGTCCACCTTCCTACCCTCCAACCTCCTAGTCCATCCCCCCACCATCCTCGTCCACCCCTCCACCATCCTAGTCCATCCCTCCACCTTCCTCGTCCACCCCTCCACCATCCTCGTCCACCCCTCCACCATCCTCGTCCACCCCTCCACCATCCTCGTCCACCCCTCCACCATCCTCGTCCACCCCTCCACCATCCTCGTCCATCCCTCCACCATCCTCCTCGTCTTATCCTTTTAGCGATCCACCGGAGGCTTCTGTTAGAGCACGGAACGGAGATAGGACTAAAAATGTAAGGTTTGAAGTTGACTGCTCTATACGTCCATCACCGCTGGTGCAATCCGGCAGGAGCCATTACTAAAAAAAAGGCTTATATAGTAATCTTCAGCAACATAATAGAGCAGTTTATAGGGGTGCCAGGTCCGGGATGGGATGGATCGGATGGATCGGATGGACCAGTGGACTTTCCACCATTTCAAGTAGGATCGGAAGAATCAGGGAGGTCCATCCGATCCATCCAAGTCCATCCTACATCCGTTCTATAAACTACTCTAACATAAGAAAGGAAAGAAGGACAAGAATAAAGAACCAGAGAGTGCCAGCAATAGTCACTATGTCATAGTATGCTTGTTCTAGTTGTTTTCGCTTTGACAACATCTACTAGTAGTTCATGATCAATCTAGACAGTCACAAACGGTAGCCACCAATCGTCGACTCGGGGTTGAAGTCGAATTAAGACCAACTACTTGTTGGGCCTAGGGCCGTGTCTACTTAGGGTAGCTAAGAGTAGTTTAACTCAGTTCTATTCATTTACCCACAATGTGACATTATTTTTGTTACCTGGCTCTACAATTTCCCACAACAATTCCACTCAATTCATTACCCCGCAGGAAGCCTGAAGCACAACAGCCAGGCGCCACAACTACGCAAACGACTAAGCACAACGGCCACCGCTGTAGAAAAGCTAGAGCCCAACCCCAAGTCCCACGGGCGTAGCAATCGACAGCCCTTAAGTAGGACAATGACAGAACACATCTGAGGCACCCCGAGCGGCAAGAACTAGGCCCCCATGGAACAGACGCGGATAAAGCTAGAGCTTTGGTCTGGTCGCTTACTAGCTGAGGTCTGGCGCTGCAAGCGGTGGACACCCGGCACAAAGGGCGGCGCCACTACTTACAAAGACCAACTGACTCTAAGGCGAGTGAGCCCGCGTAGAATCGCTAAGGCTTCCCCGGATATATGACCGCACTGACTGGTGGCGCTACACTAAACGAGGGCCTCCAAGCTTCGCCCCGTGCACCATCCTCAACCGCGTTCCGCAACCGCCAGAAAATAACGAAAAAGACAACCAGAAAGCGGAGGGCCAACTCCTACCAAAGGAAAGGCGCCACCTTAGTCATGCCTGATAGCCACTACTCTGATACGCTAATAAAGAGCGGGCGGGAGATAAAAGGGTCGGCGAGGAGGAGCGACGGGACGCTCTCCCCCTTTCAAGTACTTAGGCCGCTTTACTACGCGGAGGCCAACCGCCGGCGTCATCTGTTACAAATGCGCGGCGCACACGGGACACACAAGGAGGCCACTCCCGAATCCAACACCGACTAAGTTCTCGCTTCACTCAAATAAGGCTGAGCGGCTCTGTCTTGTGAGTCACTCATAACGCGCAAGACAGAAAAGAGACTCGCTAGACAGAAAAGCGACAGAGCTCTTTTTTGTTACCCGAGTCCACAGTTTCCCTTTCCCACAGTCGCTCCACTCACTTACCCCGCGGGGAGCCTGAAGCCGAAGCACCCGCACAACGGCCAGGCGCTACAGCTACGCTAGAAGCTGGGGAGCTTTGCTGTACAAAGATGCTGGCCTCCAGCTCCTATGCGTGCGCAGATACTGTCATATTTATGAGAGACACAAAAAAGCGGGAGAAAGCCTGAGTCCATTTCGAGCGCCACGACACTTTTCTCCTCACAGTCTACATCTAATACATCTCCATTTCTAGTTCTAGTAGTACTAGTCCGTCCTGAGTACTAGTACTTGCGGTATTAACTCATCTACTCTAGGTCGAGTTCAAGGAGTTACTGGTTTATGTTCAACGACGAGTTGGCCTCCATGTTTAACACCAGAGTAAAAAAAAACGACTTTTTGCTGGTGCCGTAAGTGTTTTTGATCCCGTGCCCATGACCCAGCATGAGCCTCGCACATTCCTGGGTAAAATGCCACGCAGATATCTTTTTTTAGAATCCTTTGTGCTATCTTTCAACCCATTAAAAACTACTTACATCTACCCCCCCGGGAGTTCTTGGCGTTGCGGTGGTTCTCCCTCAGCAGCATTGTCATGCCGAATGGCTCCGGTATTTGGTAACCTGAATTGGAACACAAGGGCTCCCTTCTTCTTTTCCCTTATGATCCAGATCAGGTTACCGAATACCAGGGCAGTGGGCCACCCCTCAACAATTGTAGTATAATTGGATACACAAGATGAACACGCAGTGCAGTCGCTATCCCGATGAATGCATAAGCATTGAGTAGTGCCCTGAGTGCAGCACCTGGACATATCAACAGGGTAGTTGAGGTTGTTGAGGGGCCACTCTCACTTACTGTGTAGATTCATAGAGACTCTTCAGTCAGAGGACTCTTGAGTCTCACCCTAGACTCTACTCAGTGCAGATTCTTTCATAGAGCAGATGGCATTCAAATTCATAGGGTTACAAGTCTCGAGTAGATTCTTTCATAGAAGAGCAGATGGATTAACTTTATCAGAAGCATCCATTGGGCTCGATTAGGGGCCCCCTAGTAGTAGTAACTAAGTATTAGGCGAAGATCCCCTAGTACTAGTAGTAGTAGGCCTAAGCATTAATTAGGGGATTTACTACAACTCGAAGAAGCCTTAATTTGCTATCGGAGGGGCGGGTGCGCCCTTCGGATAAGATTCGAGGTCTTTGATGGTGCTCCAATCGGAATCGCCCGCGCGATTCTCGTCTCGCTCTTTTACCTTGTCGCTTTCTGGCGTAACACCAAGTAAGCAATTTGTCGACAAGAAGGGAAGCTTAGAAAAAAGTGGCGTTAGCCTTAGCTTACGTTGCGATCGGTTAGGTCGTCATCATCATCATCATCATCGCCATACGTCTTCAGTGGTCATCCTCTACCGTTGGCAAGCCAAGATAGTAACAAAAAGGGTGTCATGAAGACGGCCGCGATACTATTTGCCCTACGTGGGGAAACGTGAAACAGACGTGGATTTGGATCCTGCACATGAAGAGAAAAAAGGATACATAAGGTCATGCACATGCGTCACGGTCCATCCTGTTCTTAGATTCAACAAATTACTACAAGGAGCCCGATTCATCAACAGGACAGGGGCTGTCGACGTTACTTCTCGGAGCCCGACTCATCAGCAGACCCATTCTGACATCAGAAACTTCATCTCGGCACAACTCTCACTCGGCTTGATGTTGCAGCTTATCTGGTGCCTACACAAATAGAGAAATAGACGCGGCTACATTCACTCACATGTTGAGCGATGGATAGATAGACGGATGGAGGGAGATGTCGACAACTACTACTTAGCTACGTATATATTGCTCTGGTATTGTTCGGTGGCCTGATTTTGATCACAAGGGTTGGGGTTCCTTTCTTGTTTTCCCGTATGATCAAAATCAGGCTGCCGGATTGGTATTCGTATACTTTGTCCGTAAGGATTCCCATTTCGCGAAATCCAGGAGTTCTCCCAAGAAAGGCCATCTTCTCCTCTTTATTGTAGGTCGAGTCGGTTACGTTGCTTAGAGTTCGGGTTCAGGGGCTTGGCCTTCTTAAAAATTATGATTCCTCAAACATTATCATGATAGATTTCAACTTATAGTTATACTCATTTAATTCCAATCGTCGTGATGATAACTCCGTAGCTCAGCTCAATAAGACAGATCGTTCATTAATAACGAAATACAATAAAACGCCACTTCATCCTCGTGCCATTCTAAAACTAAATCTCTTAGCTTCCTCTAAAACTAAATCTGTAAGTTCTTACTAGTGTCCCTCCAGTTATTCTACTGTAGAAGAGGTTAGGATACTAGGCGTTTGCTCGCCGTCCTCCACACGGACAGGACGAGGGTGACCTCCTCGACCATAAAAGGCGTCTAAAAAATCTACAGCCTTAACCACTTCGCAATTTTCCATCTAGCTTTCTGGTCGTGAGCGCGGAAGCCCTTGTCGTTTTTAAAATCTCCGTACACGTCGTAGAAGGGATCCATACCAAACCAAGGCTCTGCCTTGGCCTCGCCGTATTTACCCTCGTCCTCGAAGTAACGGATGATCCTGATCTTAGAAGAAGCAGGATCAAGTATGTTGAGAAAGTATAGACTTTTGCCATCAATGAGGGACAAGGTGGGATAGCCTTACAAGTAGAATGATAGCCAAGCCAGAAGAGAAGAGCTTGGGTATGTATGTATGTGTGTATCTATGTGTGTGTATGTGTGTCTGTATGTACCGCCCACCCACGTGCCCCCGGCATATACACACGCCGGGGCAAGGCGGCAAGGTCTTGCAAGCCTGTCGCAATACAGTATAGGACTACAGCCTACGGGCTTGTTGCCGATTGCGTGAAGAGAAACGGGATGCGAATTCAATGCGGGAGCTACATGCTGCACCTACAAGATACACATGAGAGAGGGGCCTGCCCTGGGCGCATCTACTTGGCGCCGGTTCTAGACTGCTGCCCTTCCAGGGAAGCGCGCCTGCCACTGACTCTGCCTGTAGCACGGAAGCATATAAAGTATCACCGGCGTGCTTTTTCTATGGCACGCCCACCCCACCAAGGGACGAACATTCCGCAAGCATGCAGAGGCTAGGAACATCTGAGCCACTACACTATCACTAGGGGAAGTAGATCTAGATGAAAGAGCACGCAGCATGCCAGTCAGTCGCCCAGGCTGCCCCCGTAGGGCACCGGCCTCGCCGCAGATGCGACTGCCGCGGCTTCCAATTCTATACTTCTAGCGAGTAAAAAGAACGCCCATGCACTAGAAGCCCCAGATTGAAGTTGAAGCAGGTCTTAAAAATAGAAGTAGCGAATCTCGATCATGATCTTGATCTTCCAAGAAGTAGAACACCGCTACTCGATAAGCTGAAAAAAGCGAGAAGTTGATGAGAATAAGCGAGACACTGAAGGAAGAGCCGCCTTTAAGAGCTACGTCCCCTATTTCAGTCAGTAGCTCGCGTATTTCCAGTTTTCGATTTGAGTACACACACACACACTGAGGACACCGCCGCCTTAGCTTGAGCTCCAACCTCTTGCACGAGCACGTTGGACACTGCTGTGTAAAGCAGCAGCATCCTCTTCTTTTTGCGTTCGTCTTTGATCTTCTTCTCGCCGCCTTCGTCTGTCATGGTGTCCTTCCCTATGTCCTTCGTTAGAAACTAACAAGAACGAATCAGGCATAAAGCTAATACTTGATAAGCTAATCCTCCTAAAATATGTTTCGAAGCAGAGTAAAGGACAGTGCTTGAGTGTGTGAACTCCTAGGTGCACAACACCTATCAGAAAGACTGATCCCGGCTGCATCCGTGCCAATATGGCATAAATAGAAAAGAACTGTGCGTGGTGTTAACTTTCTAATAATATGTCGAGAGGCCATGTGGACGTGCAGAAGCACTAGTATGACTGTACTCACGACCTTCGTCAAATAAATCAATAGATCGAGTGGATCGATTGGTAGCACTGTTGAGTAAGCAGCCATACTATCGAAGAGGTTAGCTGCAAACAGGAGTCTAGGGCCTACGTTTAGGGCTACGTGAAGAAATATATCCACAAAAGGACTGATAACTGTCAATATCTTACAAGATGAGCACTGATAACTGTTAGCTTCAGATATTCCGTAGTGTTGTAATAAAAGTACTATCTACGTAACTGTTATCAGAAATAATATGAACAATAGCACCAGTGTAGATGTTTAATTAAGTGGTGACTGGTGAACTTCGGTCAAAAGCCTTAACACTGGAGCTGTCGCGGCCATGATCAGCGAGGGAGAGGCGAGAGGAAGGCCGATCACAACCCAGGCTTAGAGGACTCCTGCTGTAGGGCGAGCACGCTATAATTTCGCGTGAAGTTACAACCATATAACTAGTTAGTACGAGCCGGAGCCCTGTTCTTGAGGTAAGTGTTGTAAGGTATGTTGTAAGTGTTGTAAGGAATAAAAAAAGGAAGAGGGTTCCGTCAGCGGGTTTTTTTGAAATAGGCTGCCCTTAAGGAATTATCTGATAGATGAATAAAACACTTCCCGTGGTGGCAGGGACATGCCATAACATTCTACCCGTGGTGGCAGAGACATTTCCGGAATGCGCATCTTTTTCTGGTCCACTTCGTAGGCGAGGCGGGGAAGCTGCAGATCAGAGTACCACTCGTCCAAAAAGGATATTAGAAAGGAAAGGAGTACAATCAAGGAAGTTGTAAATTATAACGTTCGCCTTAACATATCTTCTCCACTGGTCATCACCTCCATTAGCTTCCTTGCCTCAGGAGAGTCAGCCGCCCCGCCATACTTAGCGCCATTCACTACGCAGGAAGACTGTAGTAAGTACACATCAGAGAAGCAGTATAAGCATGATGGAAATTTGAACCATCACAACATCAAAACCAATGACGTGATGAAGTACACATCAGAGAAGCATCAATATTCTCTATAGCGAGCAGCTATGCAATGGTCTATGCTCCCTACAGAGTGACTCTGAGAAGAAGTAGAGAGTAGTATGCCTATGCGGTGGAGCCAGCCTATTAGGAAAAACAAAAAAAGGACAAGGAGAAACCGGGTAACTATCCCAACGCCAGTACGGGAAGATTTAAGATCCTTTGTGAGTACACATTGCAATTGTTTAAGATCTTCTATTAAGCACACATTGTTTAACAATGTGTGCTTAATAACTTAGTTAGTCGAGAAAACTATTGTACAGATGAGATGAGATGAGATGAGAGACTTCCTGTCCACAGTATAAGGAGACTACTGCGGCTCTGCAAGGATAGTTTTTTGTGGTGAGCAGCTATACTCTGCTTACAGAGAAGCAATAAAGTAGTGCGCGGCGGAGCCAGCCTAACTTACTTGGAAAAACCAAAAAAAAGGACAACGTAAAGAATCAAATGTATAAATAAGGAGAAACTTGCTAGCTTTGCTGATCGTCATACTAGGTCTCATCTGGTGGCCATTCTCCAGCACTGGGAAGCCAATGAGATAGTATTAGTACTACTTCTATCAGTCTAGTAACGTTTACTGATCACATTATGTAGTTCGATTATAGACGACTCCATACTTCTGTATAGATTCGAGTTGTATATGAGGCACTATCTCTGTACTACAAATGAATATAATTGTCCAATTCCCTTAACATGCTTGGTCATCTGCGTGTACAACCAGTCCTCGGTTCAAATTAGAGGGGTAGACAAGTACAAGTAGGTATCTCAGAAGATGAAGAAAGTAAGTAGGCACCTCAGAAAATGAAGTTAGGCACATCTGTCGTGCAGACCAGGGGCAACCTACCACTGGAAAAAAGCGATTATAGGGAGATCCAAATCCTGCCCAAGCCTACGACTAGAGAAAAGTAATAGTTAGGGGGATCCAAATCCGACCCCAACGAACCTCCCTGCGTAATTGAATCAAATGCTTCCTGCTGTTGTAGCGTTCCCACACTGAGTCCTTGCCGCCTTCGCCGCCTTCAGCTGCAGCCACTGCGGCTGCGTCTTCAGTACTTTAGAACTGATGGAGACCCATCTTCAGCAGCATCTTGGGCCTCCTTTTCCATTTAAAAACGGGACCAAGATGACAGTCGTGAAGATGGATTTCTTGTGCCCTTAAGTACTAGAGGCCACCGCGTTGACAGTCATCATCATCTTCATCGCCTGGTGTTTTTTGTAGAATTTAGAGTTCTCGAAGTAACCGAGAGAAGAACTGTTGCTCCAGTTGTAGTTCTGAACAGGAGTTGTAGTTCTCGTCCTCCTCGTCCCCACCCATGATTCATCCATTCATTAAGAAAAGAAAGATCGTTGGACGAGGTGAGCTAGTGACGCATGTAGTTGATTTCATCTGTCTGCATATTACTCATAGAACTCTTACGAACTATTTTAAGAAAAAAGGGAGATACAAATGAAAGAAGAGCTGTTGCAGCGTACAACTGGTGACTCTTTTACTCCAGTTAGCTACGCGCTTATTTTCACTTTTCGAGTATTTGAACCTGGTATAGTGTGTCCTTAAAGGCTGCAATTCTGTGACTGACGCTCGAACCTAAAGGCTCTCCGATATCCTCGTCATCTCTGTCCTGTGTGTCTCATCTTAGAAAGATACAACGGCTCTTGTGCGAGCACTCCTCAAATTCTTCTTGCCTCAGCCCCGGGGGTTACCAAGTAAGAACGAAGATAGAGGAATACGATAGGATAGCGATAGGACGCCTCGTCGGCTTCGCTGTCATGTCAAGGATTGAATGCCATACTGTAGATCTCCATCTAGATGTACTAGAACAAGGCCAAGAACTACGTCGTCGTGGAAAAGGAAACTATTTATAATACTAATTCCAATACTACAAGAACTACAAGTACTTCTTTCTAACGAATATTTATCTTCAATACTAAATGATGGAGTTGTGTTGTGAAATAATCAAGTAACTGATCAGAAGGACCGAGATACTGAACAAGGACAAGTAGCCCGCTAGAGCTACCTCCCTTATTTCAGTCAGTAACTCGGTTATTTTGAGTTTTCGAATACCCTGGAGACTATGTGGACACCCTAGCGCTATGTGCTTCTCCACGGCCTCTCTGTCGGTTTCTTCCTCCTCCTCCTCCGCCTTCTCTCCCTCTTTCTCCCCGCGCTCGCTGTCTTTCTTGTCTTCTTCCGCGACCTGGCCTTTTTTCGTGCCCCCTTTTGTATTCTTAGGCAGCGTTAATGGCGTAGTTGCAGACACGAAAGCCATGCGCAGCACTAGGTTCCCAAGGAGAATGCCCCGGATATGCGAGAAGCTGACCAAATGATCCTCCTTCGGATCGTTTTCATTGGTGTTAATATCGAATGGCCTCAGATTAGAAGAACTAAATGAACTAACTTCAGTACTGCAGCGTGGGGCGGCCAGAAGTAGATATACGAACAACTCGCATTCATCACATTTTCAACTACTAGCGTAGAATACGAATAGTTCTCTGTATTCATGTAGACAGCTACTAGAATAGTGTCTGCGACTATGTGTTTAATATGGACTTAACTACTGAAAAAACGCGGGCGAAAAGCCAGGACGAAATAGACCCCCTTCTGAAAGAACGCTTCTACACACTATCACTACTACATCTAGAAGATAGACCTTAACTTTACTTCTGACAGGAGAAGAACGATAAAAACAAAAATCCTAGAGTACGAGCAGTAAATATAGAAATGATGGAGGAATGGCTACGCTTCTCTTCTCTTCTCTCTTCTAAGTTGTGGTGGATCACCTAAGAACAACTATATGTAGTAGATTCAATAGAAGCGCTCCCTTGTAGTAGTTGTAGCCCTTTATATACCCAGCAGCGAAAAGAGAAGAAGCGGGCCGCGAGAGAACAAGAAAAAGTGATAGATTGATTCTAGTACTTCTATAATAGAATCAGATTGAGAGCACGGCAATTGGTTTCTGAAGACAATTCAAGCCGTAGCAACTGCTCTTGCGTTTTTTTTAAAGCGCCTGAGTGGCGACACGCGGCGCCACCACCCTCTGTTCGGCGGATCCATTCCCGTCATTTCCGACCATTGATCTTGCCGCGAACTTTTTCCGCTTTTCATTAGATGAGAAATAGAATGCTATGCATTTTCATGTGCAACTCGAATAGTCTTGCATTATTGATGTTTTAAACTCAATGTGTAAATCTTCCACGTGGAACATCTTACTTTATCAGGTGGAACAACATGTTTGAATCGTCCGAGTGCGCGAAGTGCGCGCTCTCCTGGGGGGACAACGCCTCGCCTCGCTGCCTCATAGCGCGCTCAGGATTTGGAATTGGATTTAAGTAGTTACTTATTAAGTAGAGGGGCTACGCAGCTATGAGTATACAACTCAAAAGAGGAAAGGGAGGGGCTTGTCGGTTGAAGTTGCAGCTGCAAGGCTGTTTTTCCAGTGGTAGTGAGGTTTTTTACTAAGTGCTGGGCTCCTCTACGTCACTAAACGAGTCACTTCGTGACAACATTCCTGAGTTAGATGCGCTAGAGCTTATATAAATACATGATGTTGCAGTACTAGTCGTGCCATCTTTATTTCAGCATGTAGTTGTACAGATGAGTTAGTACTGCTCATGCTCATCTGCCTTAACTTACGAGCGTAAGTGGACAACTTTAACAGGTCGTTATGTTCTTGCCCCTGAAGCGCGCCATTTTCGGGATTGTAGTAAAAAGCTTCTTGGTTCAATCGCCAGTCCCACTCTTAGAGAAGATGGTCAAGAAGTCAAGAATGAGAACCGTGGTAGAAGGTTAATTTATAGGTTAGGTTTCGGATGCAGTGCATGTGGACAAGGCTACACAGCGGCTGCATTATGGACAGCGGTAACAATAAGACTATCAAGAAGCCACACAGCCTAAAATTCAACGCAGACTGTGTAGAATGGCAATTCAATGCAGACTGTGTAGAACACGAATCAACTTCGAACAAATGTCGATCATCCTTGTTGAACTAAAAGTCAAACTTCCCAACGGTCCCTACTACCAAGTGTTAAGGATGGTCAAGAAGTCAATTTATCGATAAACTAGGAAATGTGGTACCGGTACCCCATAGTCGAGAAATTGACTTCTACCATAATCATGAGAATGAGAACCGTGGTAGAAGTTAATTTATCGATAAACTAGTAACTGTATAACTGAAATAAGCTGCAAGTAAGTCGCCTACGTTGGTCATTCATATACTTAGATGAATATCAGGAGCATGATGAAAAATTGAAACATTTTTATAAGCTGTACTTAGTTACTAGGTTAGATTTAAAAATCAGAGTACTTATATTAGCCGAGTAACTACTTAGCCTAAAAAGGGAGGTAATTCTTACTAGGAAGGTAGGGCTTTCTTCGGGAGGTGGTAGTACTTGAGGTTAAGCCTTAGTGGCACTTCGCACTTAGGGAGCTAGTAACTCCTGTATTTCCTCCTGACCTCGCTTACTTTCTCATGATGAGTGCAGCTCTCCCCATTAGTTCTACTAGCCTAACGCTTCAACCCATCACGATTACCCCTCACAAGTAAGCTCCCCCTCTTGCAAAATAAGTCATGTTCTTCTTGAGTGAGTGAAAATATTGACATGCGCGGCTTAGTCCTATCTCCTGTGGGGTATCTTCTACGTATGTCATGTTCTTGCTCTATGTTTGTCATCTCAATGCCCCTGATAATATGGCCGTTCGTGACAACCGTACTAGCAGAGAGGACCACCAAGGGCACCTCTTAGTCTTGTATAGCTATTGATGTCACCGCTAACCAAAAGCATCATAATTTTTATAGCTTGCTCATTCACATCAAATTAATTATCTCATAGCTCATTTACAACCTCAACTACATCCTAGCAGCTCAAGCTCATTTACATCCTCAACTACATCTGCTAAGACCTCCACTAAGAGCTCTGAAGCCGTAACAGACTGCTTGGCCCTTCTTCTTTCCAGTCCAAAATCTCTTCTTCAGGTTCCATGACTGCTCTCCCTTCCGATTTAGCTCGTACAGATCCTTCTTGTCAGGGTCAGTGTCCTTCACGTCTTTTAGATGGGAAAGGATAAGATATGCATAGATTTCGCGAGAAGGGGAGTCTTTGTCAAGACTATCGCTATCCCTTACTAGGTTAGGTTAGGCGTGGGTCTACCACCAAGTTCACTACTATAGAAAACGGAGGCACGACATGAGGGATCTTTTACATAGAAGAGGCGGAAGATGAGGGGAAGCCAAGACAATCCTATATTTTTCTTGAGCCTTAAGTTTTGTTCGTCCAACATACTCTGCGCCAGCTGGCTGATCGTGGCATCACAAAATAAACGCAGACACGAAAAGAAATTAAGATTAGAAAAGGACGAGCAGCTGCTATATCCTAGAATAGAAGGAGAGGAATCAACATAATTCCTCTTCTTCTCTTCTAAATTCGATTATGATTAACTTCGAAAAGTAAGTCAGCATCCTGGCGTCTCAAGTAGCCATCCTAAGCCTCAGTTTAGTTCCAGTGACGAGAGAATAAAACACGACTCACTCTAGATCTTCTTGTGACCACGATAGGATATAAAAAACATCTGGTCTCAGCGACGTGATGCTCCTCAGTGTCAGTCTTCCCTGTGGTCACATCACTAGAATACAACGTTGTAGGATCTCGTAGTCGAGTGCGACTTTCATTCACTCACCCACTCACCTCTAATGCTAATCCCTGCTTACAAGATATCAATTAGCCAAACTACTACCACCCTGTACACGTACATACTAACACCCCGTGCACGTACAGCAGAGGAAGATATCTATAACTTTAATCGTCACTGGAGATAAACAACATCAAGTTTTTTGATAGGATAGGATAGGATAGGATAGGATAGGGCGCCTTTGCTAGGTCTACACAAGTATCTTTTTTCCGAAAATCTGAAATTATAACCAAGTAACTACTTCTTAGAGTCAGAACATAGAAGACACCGAAAGAAGAGCAGCTACGCCTACGTGGTCAGTCTTGTATCTCAGTCACTAACTCGGTCATTTCTTTAAGATTTTGAAATCGAATACCTCGTTACAAGAGTATTAAAAGATGTCCCCACGCGTCAAATTTAAGATTTCGAATACCTAGTTACTTACAAGAATACCAAAAGACGTCTACCTCTCGCCTTCTTAGCATTGTGGTCCTGCGGATAAACGCGCGCTGCTTCAAGCTTTGCTAATTCTTGAGACGACATCTCTGACGTGTCCACGTCTAAATCCGGGAATATCGTATTGGGATCGTAAAAGACCAAGGACGTGCGAGGCGCAACTGGATCCAGCCGAGTGATGTCCAAAATTAGAAGTACTAGAATAGATGATTTTCTTGTATCTAGATCGATGACTTTTTTGTAGAAATGTCGAATGGCTCTGGTATGCGGGAGCCTTAGAAGTCGAATACATCATGGTGATAAATTTTAATCTTTCGTAGAAAATAGACATTCATACTCATGCATCAACTAGTATAGTAGTTTCTAACGACCAGCTCCAGAAGTAGAACGGTCGCCATTTTTTGGTTAAGTAGGTTAGACTTAGAAGGTCGAGCCATGACTATTCAGAAGACTTGTCCTTCGTTAGGTTAGGAAGAGCACACTTTTTGTAGACGGATGGCTATTCACCATATCATCTTCTTGTAGAGGCATATCATAACTTTGTAGAACAAGAATTTACACTTGTTGAAGCGTGATGTAATTCTTTTTATTTTAGTTGTACAGACGATACACAAGAAGTGAAGGACAATACAAAGTCAAAGTTCTTGTAGTATTGATTATATAACTCTTGCTCTTCCACTACTAAAAGATCTACTTCTAGCTCTTCCGAAATTATCCATAACATTTTCTCACGGCTGGAGAAAAAGTGGCGTTGTTGAATAGCTCCGAATGTGAAACAGGCAGTGCGCGCCACTAGTCTTTGTTTTAGAGCTCACCCTAAAAATCTTCCATCTCAAGATGCAGATAGATAGTGCATAGTCCATCGTCTTGACAAGCATACTGGTGTTAGGTCATCTGTTTCCTTTGAAAAGCACACTGTTCAGTGGGTTTTTCAAAAAGAGGCCCCTTGGAGATGCTTCCGAAGTGAAGATGAATCAGGGGAAGCCTTAATTGTTGTCTCGCAAGCTGGTCGTCCGCGTCCTCCTCTGTGCCTTCTGCTAGCGGAGTGTCAAACTTATCATTTAGACACTTCGGAGGTCCAAGAGCTTTTTTCGGTTCAGCAGGTGTCTTCCTCGACGGAAGAAGGACCAAAATGACCGTGGAAACCCGACCCATGGGGCTCAGTGTGTGTTTGTACGTGGCTGCCGCTGACAATGCAGGGACACCTGGCGAGCTCTGCGGAGAATCACATTGGTATGAAAGAGCGGCGTCAATATCTTTCCATCTAGCCAGGAGACCATCACGGCTACCCTTTTCTCTCCCGCCGTGGTATTGGTAGCCTGATTTTGATCATAAGGAAAACAAGAGGAGAACTCCTGGTCCTGTGATCGAATTCAGGTTACCAAATACCAGAAGCATACACTAATAAGGGGAGCCTCGATGGCCGTACGCAGATCGATGGAGTAAACATTATCGCCCATAATTGGTGAATTCCCGGACGTCCTTGGTATTTTTCGGTGACGCCTGCCACCACCTTTTGCAGGTCATAGATGCTTTCCAAGCCCTCGCAGTAATATTAGACGGCGTCGAGGTGTAGTGGGCGAGGTGTGGATACTAATATAGGATTTGATCCGCCTCAGGAGAATAGTTGTTCTGGTGTCATCTGATATCGACGATCATAGTATCATATTAGCTAGTCCTAGTCGTGGTTCCTTCAACGTGATATACTACTTCGCTAATAAGAAGACTACTTTGATCATTAAATATGAGGGAAACACAGGGCTGTCAGTGTCAGCTGAAGGGGTGACGAAGAAACTAAAGTGGCGGGAGGTTGCGTATGACATATTGTTGCGTCGCTCTCTCTAAGGAAAAAAAGAAAATAAACAAGGCCCCATCTTCCGGAGCTTGACTGCAGCTCATGTAAGTGGGCCCGCTGGGGGCACCTGACATAAGGGGGCATGAGCTCTACTTTCAGGCCTGTAGTAGGTGAACTAAGGCAAGAACTGCACTAGCTTAACCATCTAGGCGGAACATCGTGTACTATGATTTTGATATCCTTCATCATGAAAGTAGTAGGCTCAGGTGCAGATACACAGCAACTGACTTCTATCCAGGGGAAGGCTGTCCGTAAAAATGAGAATTCTTCTTGAGCTACTTATTAAGATGATTAGTGTACTTACTTATCGTTCCTCTCAAAAGATTAAGGTGAGTGTATGAGCTGAGCAAGGTGCTCCTACCTTGCTAGCGTCATTAGTTAGTCAAACCAGTGACACATATTAGAATTCGTTTGATAGTATGAGTGTAAGGGTTGAGAACAGCCTTAAGAATGACCAGAACCCAGAAGCAAGCGTAAGCTCTTCCAGCCGGATGCTTGTCGACTTAGAAGACAATGCACGTCACATGCGCAGCCTAGTACTACTACAATTCATTACAGGGTGGAGGGCGGGAGGGGTCACTGGGGTTACCTCAGGGCCCACCCTTCCTGGCCAAGTTTGAAGCAAATCTTACATAGACAACGGAGGCCGCCTCATAGTAAGCATTTTCCTTCCCAGGGTGGGGGGGGCTTGCTAAGGTTAGGCTAGGTCAGGGACCCTGATTATTCAGCATCAATATTACAACGGCTGGCCTACTAGATATTGCATGAACCTCAGAAAACGCTCGAAAATAGGCGGAACAGCTTGAGTAGGTCCGCTGGTGAAAGAACTGGCAACGAGACAATCAACAAGAGAGCGCCACCAACACGCTCCACAAAGACAAACCGCCCGAAGGCCTCAAGCTTCAGAGTGTGTGTGAGTTTGAGGCTTTCTTTTGCATGACGCTACTCAAAAGGAGGCGCCAAAGCCATTGGCTTTCGAGACCTGAACGCCTCACGCTTCAGCCTGAGGCCTTTTTGAGTAGCGCCATCCAAAACAAGTCCGTCGCAAAAACCAGTGGTTTTGGAGGCCTGAAGGTCTCAGGCTGAATTTTGAATATTTTTTAAATAGCCCCTTTTCCTGTAGCGCTACCCGTTGAGCAGTCCCTCCTCAGTGAGTAGAGCTACAGGGTGCCCCCTCAAAAACCACTGCTGGCTTTTGAGGGTGGAATTCGGTTTGAGGATCCGACGCAACAAGACAAGTCAAAAAAAAGGCTGGGGCTTTCAATCCTCAAAAACCAGTGGTTTTTGAGGATTGTTTCGAGTGGCGCTACTCAAAAAAAGTCTCAGGTTTTAGCTTGAGACTTTCAGGCTCCAAAAGCCCGTGGCTTTTGAGGCCTGTTTTGAGTAGCGCTACGCACAGAAAGCCGCACGGTGACACTTGTTACATGCCTCAAAGTCGGGCCTGCTCCTCGGCACAGAGTCCGGGGCCTGCCGCACTTTCGCTCCCGACCAGACGCGTGAAGCAGCGCCCGCGGGACACATCGTTCGCCCAACTATCTGCGGACGCCTGGGCCACACTAGGCAGGCAGGCGCAAAATTTGGCCCGTGCCGCTACTCAAGTTTTTCCGCTGTAATCTACCAAGCTGCGTAAACAAGAATAGTGAGATATTGTGTTGTCAAACAAAGGGTCGGCTTATCGTCACTTTTTGCCTTAAGCGACAGAGGCATCGGCTATATTCGGAAGGGAATGGCCTGGCATATATTAGCGCTAGCTTTAATCCATCTCGGCCCCCTCATCTCGACGCCTTTCCCATGAAATACAAGGAAAACGGGCAGCACCGAGATGCCGAGGAAGACGGATAAGAGCTGACCGTAATTTTTTGTCGCCTATTTCCGGCAATTTGTACAGCTTGAACCCGTCCTGGTGATTGTCCTCCGCGTTCATCTTATTGAACTTCCGATGCATCTCATCCACCTCGTCGGAGGAACTATTGGAGGAGTTCTATTAAGAACTAAAAAGCTAAGTATAATAAGTAGAACTTCTATAAAATATAAAAACAAAAATGAAAATTTAGTAGAACTAGTTGTAGAGCTACTAGCCTCTGAGAGTGATACTAAATTAAGCACAGCTTCTGTATCTAATAGAAAAACAAGAACTAAGTCCCTTGCTTATCTACAAAATCAAAAGTCTTAGGGTGAGGCGTAGACGATCTAAGATGGGATAGGGGTCGGCTCACCTAGTAGGGAGCGGTAAACACTCACGACTATGAAGCTTCTCACTTGGTTTCAATAGTGGCACTCAGTACAGTTGTGCTACGCGCCTCAGTGTCAGTAGTAACTTTTACTTCATTCTTGTCATCATGTTTTTTTTTTAGCCGGTAACGCAAAAGCCTCTAACTGATCTCCTTGGTAGTAGTTACGTACACGCCTCAGCTGCATTAGTGGTAATAGTATCAGTTTCTATAATACTATCTAAGAATCAGTAGAAGTAGTTCTTTCGAGATGACTAAATATCTTAAGTTCTACCTCCTGCTACTTACTACCTCAGCACGAAGTTGTTCGTTTGGTTTAGTAAGTTACTATGCAGCACCAGTGATGCTAAACTAAGTTTCAGTTCTTTCTGGACTAAGTGTCAGCGCTATCTCCTTCTAGTCTCCTACTACTTGAGACTCGAGACGAAGATCGTTACGATGAAGATCGTTACTCTCAAGTATCTTGAAGTTCAACTTCTATACTATGTGCAAGATCTACGTCTACCTCCTACTAGTGCTTACTAACTTGGTTTCAGTAGAAGTAGTGATACTAAACGAAGCTGCGTCAGATCAGTGCTCTCAGGTGGTCGTCTCCGTATAATATTAAACAAGGAAGTACTAGCACACGACGAGTGCGATCCCCTTTTGCCACGTGACGGCGAGATCCAATCCTCTGACTGGACAAATTGCAAAAGTAGACACATAGATGAGACTTCACCTCCTAAGTAAATCAACGTTGTAATAACTACAACTCATACTCACCTAAGCAGATCTAAAATGTAACAAATGGGATCCGTCAAGACACATAGATAAGATTTCACCTAAGTAAATCTAGTACACATTAACAAGTAAACAAGAGGTACTCATCAAATACAAACTCACGCTTTCATAATAATAGCCTGGACTCGACAGCTCTGCGCTTGGTTCGGTCCAAACGAGGCGGTTTGTAATACACCAGTTTGCATATGCTGGAGGGAAACCGTTTGCGCTTTCTTAGCTGCGTTTTCCGGTGTATACATTAGAGAATGAGAAGGCACGTAAGTAGGTCATGGCGCGCCACACGTAGAAGCCCCTTCTTCTCAACCATCAGCGAGATGAGACAGTTCCTGAAGCGGTCACGTCATGGCGCCTCGACTTCTGTAACCACTTTTTGAGTCTACAGCTTTGTACTGAATTAGTCGTCGGCTGTATTATTCTTTCATACTGAAGTAATCGTCAGCTTTATTATTCTTTCATCTATGTATTGACCCAAGTTTTTTTGAAGTAGTACACACTAGTGGGAAAAGTCATGACCTCTCACACGACTGTTGTAGCTACGCTTACTTATAATCGAATAGGGAGGAGCGAGTAGAGATGGTCGGATGGACTTCCCACGTCCGGCAATCATTCTAAGTATGACCCGAAGGCTTAGAAGGGTTCACCCGATCCATCCAAGTCCATCCACGTCCTTCTTCCATTCTATAAGTTATCCTATTAGAATTATCTAAGATGCCTTCTAGGTGAGCTACATTTTCATCCCTTGTACTCAATCTATTCTTACTAAATGACTTAGATCAAGCATCATCTTCCAATAAAAGCTAACTATAATAGGAAAGTTTATAGCCTCTCCAGAATTGGATCGGTGGGCACGCTTGGCACGCTGGGCCGCTGGGCGGCCCAAAAGTGGGTCACCTGCCAAAGATGTCGCCCACCGCGCGCCCGCCGTGAGACTTGGGGCCAAAAATCGGGGCGCCCTTCGGGCGTCCATTTCTGAAGCCCCCCGGCAGAGCAAGCGCATGCGCCCTGGATCCGCAGCAAGCTGCATACGAATCGGGGCGCCAACCTACTGGCCCGCCTGGGAATATCCCTCAGCAGCACTGGTCGCACGTTGCAGCAGAGTACTGAGGCCCATTGCAGCGCTGCGCCGGACTCTACACACCCAGGCGGCACTGCAGACAGCAGCGAAGCACCGCAAGCAACGAGACCGTGGCCGCTCCGCAGAGGAGCACAGCGCCGCGCTGCCCTCGACTGCGGCCCTGTACACTGCCGGAAGAAGCGGGCCAACGCTATACGCGCCCAGCGTGCGCCCACCGTGCCCCCCATGCTTGCCAAGGGTCCGCCCACCGTGCCAAGCGTGGCCGCCCAGCGGCCCAGCGTCGCCCACCGTGCCCACATTCCCACCGTCTATAAACTATTCTATTATAATAAGCTATACTTTCATCCTCCCTTGTAATATTCTTACTAATAAATCATGTCGACCATAGCCAAGGTGCGTTTGTGGGTGACCAGGCAAAGTTCTTCGCTCCCGGTCGATACACCACGAGCATCGCTTGCTTCGTGCGGGCTGATTTTTCGTTCAAATTAGAGAATCCACTTAAGTGCTTTTTCCTTTCTATAAGTATAAGTCTTTAGCTGTGCTGTTATACAATGCAACACAATCAATGCAATACAGTTTACAAGAATGAATCCTGCTCAGGATAGGTATAATAGGATAAGAAGTCACTCGCCGTCCACGGAAACACGCACCCTGCAACCGCAGAGGGATCTTCATCTTCACGAGCAAATCTTCACTAGTAACACACGCTTAATAAAAATAATATGCTAACTTATTTGGCGCAAGGAGCTGGATTATTAGAAATATGCTAACTTATTTGACGCAAGGAGCTGGATTACTACAGTACTTTTCTCCAGCTCTTAACCTCTCCCTTTGCTGCGGGATTACCAGCAGGATTGTAGCACCATTTTGCCGCGTTCTTCCCCACCGCGTGCTCCCCGACGTAGACCTGAACAGCCTTCGTTAGATCATCGAGACTTTTGATACGAACCCAAGCGGAGCGTTTGTTTTCTTCCGGGTTTTTGCCTGCCGTGGTATCCTTAGACATCAAAGAGAACACATGATCAAAGAGAAAATCATGACTGAGATGAAGTCATCGAAAACAAGATGAATTCTTCATCACAAGTGTTTTACACTGCTTGCTCTATATATGACTGAGAAGTCATCTGAGTTTGAGTACTCCCTTGGGTGTCTGTGATCATGATTCACATTGAAAACGCAAAACCTGTGGTAAATAGTAGAAGTGCAGCTCTGTAAACTTCTACTTTGTTCTTGTCATCACGAACACGAAAACATCTACCTTTCTTAGGCTACTTAGAGGTAGAGTATGATAGCTGGAAAGTCTTACACTTAATATTACGACCGTCATGTCAATAATGTTACAGCGGTACCTCAATGCCGGACTTCTCTTGCGATTATATAGTTAAAGACAAAAGGAATAGACTTCGCCTTGCGCTAATTGATTGGCTGACTGACGTCCCTCACTATCGGCACGATCTACTTGGTTACGGTTGCTGTTGATTGATTGACTGACTGCCTGACCGATTGATTGGTAGCCTTAACTTTCGCCTGGTCGGAAGTGGTGGCGGTCATATCATGCACATTAACTGTTTTCAATATTTTTTGCATTGGGTCTTAGAGGGCGCGCAATGATTCATGACGAATTATTCATCGCCTACCTGTTATTGCTGTTGGAGAATCAATCAAACTAGAAAAAACCAAAACCAAAATGAAGAAAGGCATGACAGAAAAGTGCACTTTTCTACTTATTTCAAAAATAATTCCTCTACTACTGCTCCTACAACTACTTGGAGTTCGAGTTGTTTTCAAAATGATATATCTAGCACTTCTGCCGTTAGACTGCGTAGTACTCAACATCTACTGCTCTGAACAGAATTCAAAAAGAAAGCTAGATAGTACATACAAGATCCGGTTCCCCTGTTCACTACGGTTAAGGCTGAGGGTCCACCACTCCAAACAGAACATGTGCCAGATATTATACTAAGGCGCTAAGTCAACTAAGAACTGCACAAAAACGGTCTTTATTGTCGCCTCCTCGTCCTGCAAGTGCTCCGCTTAGCGACTTTTGTAACTTGTTTCCTCTTGGTTTTTCTGTCGTTTGGTTTCGTTTCATGTGAGTCCCCGCGCCCCTCCAGAGTCCACCGCACCAGCCTGCAAATGTATGCTAGCTGGGGGATTCTGGAGGGGCGCGGGGATTTGGAGGGCGCCCGAGGTTCTTGGCTCGCAATTGGGTGAGGGTTTTCCAGAGGGGAGCGCAGTAGGCGGCGAGTGTTCTGCGGATTCGTATCATGCCCGAGAAGATTGAATTTTGTCCGGATTTTTGCAGTCCTTAGTTGAATTTTCTCCTAAGGAAAACTATCCGCGTTCCCTCAATAAATCAGATCATTTACTTACACTTTCAAAATATGTCTTCGCTTTCAACTTCTCCTAAGTTAAATCATGTTGGTTGAAACTGAAAACTAAAATATTAGCTAAGACTGAGATAAATTTTTACCGGGTATCAGGATCAGCTACACCATGAGCATGAGTCTATCTACCTGGCCTTAACGTTCCTTCCGAGCCTGCCTTCCTGTATTAGACCGTATAGTTCTCAACTTTTTTTTTCAGGAGTGCAGCAGTAAAGAAAAAGAAAGGCAAGAGGCATACTCACATCATCTATTTTCAGGAAGAGGAGAATTAGGATATGGATAATTTTATGCCATATTATTACTTTTCAGGCACTCCAAGACAACATCGTTATTTCAAAGGAATAGATGAAAGAATTAAAATAATCAACAATGTTTTACTTTCGCCTTAGCAGTCTTCTCCTTTTTCTTGTCCCCAGTGCCAGTGTCGATAACTGTTATCGAACCGTAGTTTGGCAGCCATCCTGAATTTTTTGTAAAGCACAACTCCTCGCCTTTGTTAGAAGGAGGTAGTATATGAAATATTAAAGGATTATTTAGATTTAGTAGTCACCATCTATAACTATATCTAAGCTGGTGACTAGTTGTTCTAGTGGTGATTGTGTTTTGCACGACCTTGAGTCAAGAGATTGGGACGCGAGTTGATGTAGTCCTGCACTTCTGACGTTAATACTTTACTCATCATCGTCAGCGCGTCTCGAAAACTAACGCCAAGGCATTTGTATAGATGTAAGTCATGTTCTACTTCTATATCATTGGTGGAGCAGACCTAATTACAATTCTATAATATCATCACTCATTCATGTGCATCCCAAATAGTCCTTCAAGCCTACCGGCGGGATGATACAGTTCCAACAGTGTGTCTAAAAGACGGCCGTGGAATTGTGTAACCTAGTGAGGGGATACGAGTAATCTTTTTGCCAATCGCTCTGTGTCATTGTACTATATGACGACAAGTTCGCGACGTTCGCTATAGGTATAGAGGAGCTCTTCTCCTACTTGTGCATTCACTTTATTGTATCTATAGATGCTTCTATAGGTCCCATAATCTTCACAATGAGTGACGTCGGCACTTTGATCCTCCGCCAATATTAGACCTCCCCCTAGTTGTAGTTCGTCATACCTTTGGAAATCCCTCAAGGCTATGCGTGAGCATCTCCCTTGTATAATCTATTTGGAGGCATGCTGTTCGTGAGGGATCATCCCTATAAAAGAGATGGATTAGTGAGAGCCTTAACAATAGGTCTTCGAGGCCCATCTCCCCGTGCCTTCGTCGTTGGCAGTGCGGTCCGCCTTCCTCCAACGCGCAATATAGTTGCTGTTGTCATATTCTTCTTGGAACTTTTTTTAGAGGGGAGAACCCTAGTAGTCCTAGAACCAGTCACCCTAAGAAGTAAATTACCCCATAAATTCACAAGACTCTGGGTGGGTGATCATCCTTTCTGTCCAAGTCTGTCATATAATCCATTTCCATTACAGTCCATATTCGTTACTTACTTGGGGTAAAGTAAGACGAAGCCAAGAAGGAAAAGAAGCCTTAATTTTTGTCGTTGTACCCGACCCCCCTGCGAATACCACCTAGGTAGGACGCTTGGGGTACGTCGATGTCGCTTCGCACCCTTACGGGAAGCCCAGGTAGCAACTCCACTGATTGTACGTCGGATGTGATCAGCTCTTTCTTAAAGCTTCTTTCCACTTCACCTATAATGATTACAACTACATTCTTCAGAGTCATGCCATGTGTGCACCTCAAATGACTAGACCATTTCAGCTAGCTACTCGCTTTTTTCAAGATTTCGATAACTTGAAAAAAGGGCCAAGAAGATGTTAGTGCTATTAGTGGGCGGGGTGGGTGTACATGTAATATATCGTCAGTTTTAGACCAAAGGCCCCGATTTTTATTCTTATTCGGAAAAGGCGCTTTGGGTCTTATATGAGAATCATGCGGAACACGGTCTCAAATGAGTTTAAAACCGAGTACGCTTAGCGCGCTAATGCTTCTGGTATCCTGTCTTATCTCCTGCCCGTAACTTTGTCTTGCTGCCTTCGCGATTTAGGTCGCTCGTCGTGTATTTGCATGGTTTTATGTGTGAGACGAGGTCGCAGCATTCTCCCGATTGAACCACCTCTAAGATCCAAAATATACGGATGCCACATGACGAGATAGCCGGCATTAGAAAGACCTCAAGCCTGAGCCTGACAATTAATTTCTTATTCTTTTTCTTGCGCACATTTCAATTTCTCGCAATCGATCCTATGAAGGAACTAGGGAGAAATGGCTTGTAGGTTCTTCACGGAACTCGCTCTCACTCACTACAAGAAAAAAGGCTTGTAGAAGTGAACTGCTTGTAGAAATGAATTGCATTATTGAGCCTCAATGTCCGGACTTTCCGATGTCGTGTCAGCCAAGTTTTCAGCATTCATCCCCCAAACTGGGAAAGCTGGCCCCGCATTCGCAAAGGCGAAAAGACTGTAGTCTGCCTCCAGAAGTTAGAGAGTAGATATAAAAAATTAGGCAAACAACTTAAACTGTATACTTCGATATAGACTGTAGAAAGTCTGCCTCCAGCGGCAGTTGTAATTATATATAGAAGAGAGTTACTAGACTGAATCCCTCCAGCAAAACGCTACTACTCCACATGATGGCGACAAGCTGAAAGAGTTGTGGAGTAGATGATGAGTTTAGAGGCTAGCAGATCAATGTTCTTGAACCGAAAGGAATCAGGAACTAGTATCAGAAAGACCAGAGGAATATACTAGAAAAGAACACTCCTGAAGAAGTTTAGCTATCATGTTCATGTTGATCATCTTAATATTACTCTGTTAAATGGTAAGTATATCAAAACCTCACTGAGGTCGCTTCAATCAATAATGCAGTATCAGGTTTTTCAGAAAGAGAGTGAGGAGACTGCCCAAGCTTTTCCGCTGCTGACTATCAATGACAGACGAGTTACCTAATGCTAATATTTCGACTTGTTAATTGCGTCTTTGTATTACAGAGGCCGCGTGACTGATTTGAGTTTGTAGTTGTCTGCGTCGGTGTATGACATGATACTGCAACTAAATTTTTTACCTCTTTGGGGTATGTTATGGATTCTGTACAATGACAATGGATTTCCACTCAATACAGAGAAAAAAGAAGAACTGCCTATACCGCCCACTAGGACTAGGATCATCACGCCTTAAAAAAGGTGAGGCTCCCTGTTGAATAGTTTTGGTCCTGGCTCGTTACTTCCTGGCCTCGGCTTGCTTGGTTTTTCCGTCCACTCTTTTTAGCGATTGCGATACTGCATTCCTCAGATCATCCTTGACCCTCTTCCTACTAGGAAACGAGTGATGGATGGTACTTAAGAATGCAATATCGAAATAATCCTTAATCTTTAGGCTTCAGCTGGGCATGTAGCTCCTCTGTTCCGACGACATCTTTTGGTCGCACAAGTTAGAGAAGCGGGCTACAAACGAAGACCGCCACGTCGTCATGTACTTACAAAAGGCTACACAGACAGACAGACAGACAAACACAAACTAAGACAAAACTCGTTGGGTACTAAATACGAAGCGCTAGACAAACAGACGAGCACGCTGTATACTTCCGGATAAATATACTCACGTCAGAATGAAAACTTGATGAGCAGAAGGAGAATTTAGTAAAGGTTCTTAAGGTGGGTCCGGGAGCCTCGCGCTCAAATTGTCCTCGCCAAAGTGGGTGATGATGTCACCTTGCTTCAATGACGTTCCTGGGATATCTTGCAGCACAATAAGCACCATGTGACACGATTCAAGCATTCTACCGGACGGGCGAATGCCGACTTAGAGGGTGCTCTACTTATGTTTAAGAGAGAGAGAGTGAGAGTGCTGGTGTTCTTTCTCTTAATCTTATGTAGTAGTTGCATTGAATTATATTTATAGGACAACTCTCCCTCTCGTCTTGAGGGAGTCCTCTACATCTGCTTATGTTTGTGCACTGAATATACTTAATGAGACATATAGGACGATGCGGAGCAGGTGGATAACAATGCTCCCCCAGCATATAGGTAGATTACATTCAACTGGAGGTTGTGCAACATTTACTGCTTCTACCCTTTTTTCTTGTACTACTCAGAAAGTCTAAGAGAAATTGTAAACTACAGAAGATACTTTCAGCATCTGCGTATAGGAAGACCTAGCACAGCACAAGGATGCTTTTGATCCGATGCCCATGATCTTCGATAAACTGAAATAAGCGAGCAGCAGACGAGAATAACCGAGATACTGCTAAATAGGTGGATTCAGAAGTGCTTGTGCTCCCTTGTAGTCTTCGATATGTGATAAAATTGTTCACCACGACACTCACATAACAGGGTTGATGTTCCGGCTTCACAGGTTCCCCAGTTTGAGGGTCTTTCTGGTTCTTACTCGGTTCCCACAGATCCAAACGGTGCAAAAATCCGTCATCGGTCCAGCCTTGGTCCTGGAAGAAGCTCTCTGGAACCATCGACTCCCTAAACAGCTTGCTCAAGTACAGCTGGTCCTGCCACAAAGCAAAAGAACAAAGTTAAAGATTGATTGGCTGATTGATTGACTCACTTGCCTGGCAAGAGGTCTAAGAGAAAGATCACACAGGGTGAGAGAGAAGTAGAGGGGGAGACTCTTAGAGAGAGAGAGGGTGAGAAGGAGAACAGTCATCAACTGCATTCAAAAGGACATTACAAGGAGCTATAGAATGGGAGAACTACTACTACACTCATCAACATTATTAGAAGAGAGTGAGTAGAACATAAACATTAGTGCTCCACTTCTTCGAGCATCATTAGGTGAAGGTATTCACTTGCGAACTTCATTACTAGAAGAGCCCTGACCTAGCCCTAACCCAGTAGGCCCTAGACCTAGGCTCTAGCGGTAGCCGCAGTCGATCTAACTTGTTCATGTCTAATCATATTTGAAATCATCTCATAAAAAAAGTTATCCACCTGCTCCACTTCGAAGTCGCCATCTGCGCCAGGCCAAGGGTACAGAGCTGCTTCTGCATGAGTGATCAACTGTTGTTAGAAGAAGAACAAGAAGAAGAACTTCTACTAATTTATATGATTTTTCGTTCGTCTTTCTGTAAGTCTTAGATATTAGTCGCGCGGTCTAGCTGTTAACCTATGCCCAGCGCAGCGGGCCCTTGATTGGCCCGCTTTCTGGGCATGTATTCATATTAGATATAGCTAGAGGAGTACTAGATTAATGAAAATGGAAATGCGTCCACGTTCATTCTTGTGAAATGGTCCTCCTTAATGTGCTGGGTTGAGTGGCTCCCTCCAAGGAAGGTCCATGAATGCTCCCACTCATTGAGAACTACGTCGCTAAGGGAATTATTCTTCTTCTTTGGCTCCCTTATCGTCCTTGATGTTCTCAATGTATGTGGGCATACAATTCAGTGTTTTGAGATGGTATGGAGGGCTGACCCAGGACATGTCTTCCCTACGGAACTTCAAGAAGAAGACGTTGTCTGCGAGCCATGTCTTGATAAGCCTCTGCCGAACATTTGCGGCCCAGTTGCACAGCATATTTCCTACGAACATTAAAGGTAGTTGAAAGAATTAGGATAGGATAGGATAGGATATGATAGGATAAGTTGCCTTTGCTAAGCCTGCACGCGATGTGCTAGATAGGATAAGTTGCCTTTGTAATGCCAGATAGAGCCTAGTACAAATACGTTGAAATGCTTCAACAACCCTTAAGAACAAAGCGGTGCTCGCGATCAAAATACCACCAGGGACACCAAGCGAAATGGTCACCCCGAGCGCCTTGAAAAGCGCCATAAGACCCGCATGAATTACTGCGAAGCCAATCGTGTAAGCAGCCTTCGCAAAAGTGGCCTCCATAACGATTCCGAAAATGAGAGCAGGAATGGCAAATCTTTTGTCGTTGGCGATCCAGTTCTGAGGCGAAGATTAGAGCTCACCCTTATCCATCTCGCGACGCATCTTGAGACACTTTTCCAGTACGTGTGAAAGAGTTACAAGATGCTTCCAACATCCGAAGATGGAAGATTGGGAGCCTTAAGAAGAGAGTTGCGGTCGGTCTCGCAGGGCAGCGATCCTTGCAGCGGAGGCTACTTTTCCAGCCAATGTTCCCGGACATTGGGCCTCGCTAATGAGCTCAGGATTAGAGATAGGTGTATCGCTTTAAGCTATTATATATAAGGATAGGTCCCAACATCTTAAGAATAAGACAGTATCGGCGATATTACTAGTCGCCCCTAATTAGTATAATCATTATCCTGGCCGAGCAGGAGAGGCGTCTTGCTCGTAATATAGGGAATGTCAATATAGTGTCCGGTGTTGATCTTCCTGTATGGCCTTGAAAATAAGTAAGTAGCCTCTTACACTTCAAGATGCCCCACGAAAATCAGTAGCCTCTTACTTCACCTGCAGGATCAGAGCATCACGACCATTAGCATCACAACCATTAGGGTAAAGGTAAACCGCCCACCTATAAGTAGCCTCCCTTAACTTTATTATCATTCACTTTAGAAAATGGACCATTATCCGACATTACGATCATAAAAAGGGTAAGCCCTATTATAAGCCCATTAGGGTAATTGTAAGCCTCCTAACATTCAATGGTCTATCGTCGTTGTCAGCTCCTTTACCAGCATTGAGGAGTTTTTTTTCGAGATCAGCTACACTTGTCATCTCGCCCTCTTCTGTCGGAGCCGCGTTTTCCAGTGCGCCTGCCGCACGCGCCATCCCTACCACGCTTCTTAGAAGTTCACTCATTCTTCACGCTAGAAAATCAAAAAAACGATAATGATAACGTTTTTTTGTGCAATATACTTACAAGCTTACTTCTACTTGTAGTTGTACTTACTTACTTACAAGCCTACTTCTAGTTCTACTTGTAGTTGTACTTACTTACCAACCTACTTCTACTACTTGTAGTTGTACTTACCACTAGTACAAGTACAACAACTCTAGTTGTACTTACTAGTGCTACAAATCGTGCTGCTTGGATCAAGGTATAGCTTCGATGCTAGTCTTAACTTCGATGCGAATCGTGCCGCTTGCATCAAGGTATAGATCGTCGTACGTGGCAGGTCACGGGACATACTAGACGCAATATATTTCTTCCACATTTTGTTGCCTCCCAAGGATCGAGTATAGCCGACCATGCAATAAGGCTTCTCAAAAACCTTGTCGCCTTGAAGTCCGTTCTTCCTTGGTTAGAGGTACCGATAACCCATAGCTTGCAGGACACATCTTCGTTTACTGTTTAGTTGCTTATTCCAAGAAGTGCATTTCGAATAAAAGATGGTGTAAAACTAACTTAAGTACTAAATAAAGATTGTGTAAGTAAAACTAAAACGAGCCATAACTTGGCCCTGCCCCAGCCGCGTCTCCCTTTGCACCGAAAAGATCCATGTAACCTGCCAGGGTTGAGGAGGTTGAGGATATTGCCGCTTCCTCCTGCTCGAAGTCTGCGTTGCCAACGTCATCGACAAACAAAAGGGTCTCCTCGATGCCAGCCGCAAGGTATTTCTCGTTTTTCGTCTCATTAGACGCATGGATCATGGCGATGTTCCACCTCGGGCATTAATTATCCTAGGCCCTTCAGTCTCTAGGACATTAGTCATGTATGTAAGAAAGTAAGTACCTAGCGTTCCTCTTCCTTCTAGGACATAAATGCATTCTAAGTATTACGGTAAAGAAAAAGATGCCGGTTATCCTTATCAAAGGGGTAAGAGTAAGTTGTACTTGTAAGTATGTAAAAAGTAAACTTTACTTTTTACATACTTAAGAAAAGTTCCGAGAGATAGGAAATCATTATGAGCCGGATGAGTGAATGCAATTAGTAAAGCAAGTTAGTATAGATATCGATATCATCAAGAGGTAGATGACTCAATGGGATATAAGAAGGTAGAAGCACTGAAGAGGCACTTACAAGCAGACAGGAGACGACGGGCCAGAGATCGAGATAGACTAGGGATAAAGATAGACATAGAGGCACAGATAGACAAGAGATGCAGATAGACATAGGGACACAGACTATACGTGACTCTTTTACTTCAGACAGTTAGCTAGAGCTCGTACGTAGTAGAAGTAGAAAGATCTAGTAGAAGTAGAAAGACGGCTTAGTTATTTTCACTTTTTGACGGCCTAGGTGTGGTAGAGAGATACATATATCACGGCCTAGTAGTAGGAAGATCATGTTTATGGCCTTAAGATTGGGCATCGCCTTCAAGTGGCTAGCGATCTGCAAGCGCACGTAGGCCATCATGAAGGACCGCGTCATTGCCAGTTGCTCTCGTTTTTCTCTTTTCTCCACATCGACGCGGCCTTGTTCAGCTTGTGGCAGTTTGTCTTCGTCTTTTACGTCTGGTCCTTCGTCGTCTTCTCGTTGGCCAAGCTCTTTTTCCTCATTTTTAGACTTACAGGGACGAGTCGTGAGTGCTACATTGAATCATTAAGATCCGTGCTTGTCCTTGTCAAATGTTGAGTTTATATGGGGGATTGTGGATGTTGACCACTTTGAGCAGGGATTCTATCCATTTTCATGGCTTCTGTGTACAAGAGAGAGGATGACTTTGACCAGCAGCTGTTCTATTTATCTTTATGGCTTCCAGATCTACTTGAGACCAGGACCACGACGGACTAACTATGCATAAAAAAAATTCCCTTGAACAAGTTATGTAAGTGGTGGATACATTGAAGTTAAATTAATATAAATTAGTGACATTGATAGTGACTGGGACCTTTCATCTTGCCTTAATACTATCATGTTGCTCACCCTCGCTCACTTTCGCTTTCGGCGGCGCTTGGAAAGCCAGATTGAAAGTGACGCGGTCGCGCGAGTTATCATTGCCACGGTTTCTTAGAGCTTCCCCCGGAAAACCATCTTGAAAGTCAGTCATCTTGGACTCGTTTCCTCTTGTTACAAGGGAGGTGGTCCAAGAAGATGCTTCTCGAAATGGGACATTTTTTCCAGACATGATCATAAGTTCCAAAGTTTGAATTTCTGATACCACTTGGAATCAGAGTTGATTGTCTTCACATACCCGTTGTCGCGTCCGTTCAGTGTGTGCATCAGCTCCGCTACAGGATACGCAACCTGTGCAGATAGGAAGGCCAGAAATTGAGCCAGCTCACCGCTTGGTATGCTCTTCAGGTTTTCAGTTTCACCACATTAGAAAGGGACCTCACGCAAAGAAATGCTGTTCTAAGCCATCTAGTTACTTGTAAAAATAGGATATCTACAGATTTTTTTGTGGTGGAGCAGAGTTAACTTAGGTACTAGAGTAGGAGGTGTGGAGTCTAAGGATATCAATGGGTATTAGAGTCGGACTCTAGTGGTTAGGATACATTATCGGCGGGATAGGATATCGATATTAGAAAACAGGGATACTATCGAACAGCTTATAGGGTTGTCGGATTCAGGACGCGACGGATCGGATGGACTTCCCAGGTCTGCTAGTCATTTTAAGTAGGGCCCGAAGACTTACTAGGGGGGTCCATCCGATCCATCCAAGTCCATCCTACTTCCGTTCTATAAATCATTCTAATACATTCAGCTTCCAGAATCCTATCCCTCGTGTTAATCTTTGACAGAAATAAGTACATGATAGAAGATCACAAAAATACGAATACTCGTATTGACTTGCAAACACATGAATTCGCATCATGTATGTTGCCACGAGTAGATGACAGAGGAGACGATAGACATGATAGAAAAATATAGCGAGGACATGATAAAGAGACTCTCATGAAAATATAATGAGAGTCGTTCTAGAATCTAGACCGAAGAATTTAATTGATGGACCCTCTTCGAATAATCTAATAAAACCTATACAACGATAGACTACTTCTCATCCATAAGGCGGAGCGCGAACGGCGAGGCAAGCCGCAAACGCGTATTGGTCTTCGAGGTAGCTGTCCATGATTTTTGCGTTGTCCGATTCCGACGACAAGTTAGTCGATGAGGAAGAGCATAATTAACAAGCTTTATATAAAAAGTTGAAGTTGTCTCGTCATAGTATAGCTCATTTGTCTCGTACGTAGCATTTGAACTAGACGATAAGCGAAAAAAGAGGAGAAGAGTGAGCTAGTGCTTGATGGTAAATATCATCGCCGTGTAGTCGAAAGAAAGTCCATGTCGATGTTGTCGACTGCTACAACTTCTAGGATTGTTGAGCATTCAGTTCTGCTTCTGCTCGTTGAACAGGCCCAAGCCTTGTTCATGTTCGTTTTGATATTAGTACAAGTACAACTACAACAAGACCTACCACCTGGACCATTTCTACGGTCTACATGCTTATTTGATAGTACAAGATGACCTACTACTAGGAGGACCGTTTCTCATACTCATCAGGAGGGCCGTTTCTCCTTAAGACTAGAGTCACCACTTATCGCTGGCTTGGCGAATTTCTTAGCACATTCGTCCCACGTGGCGTGCTTCGCAATGGCTTGGCGCTTCATCTCCTCTAAGTTTTCCCCCGTGTTTATTTTGTTGGCATCTTCTTTCGCGAGTTCGGAGGCTACTGACTTTGCCGAAACGTGTTGTCGAATTGCGTCCATTGCTACATCTGCACGCGTTAGCCCTTTGCGGTCCTGTTTTTCACTCTCACTCAGCTGCTCTTCTTGTTCAGGAATGGCAAACAAAAGGCGCGCATGAAAGAGCCAAAATTTCTACCAGGTTAGGTTGGATTGGGTTGTCAAAAAGAAGAAGAAGACGAAGAAGACGAAGAAGAAGAGGAACTAGAAGCACTAATAGTCGAATTTACATTTACTTGCGTATTCTAAGACTTCGAATACTTATGCATAAGGTTAAGAAACTTGATCTAAATTGATATTAACAGAAGACTTTCGCTTTCATCATAGCTTGAAAAGTCCAGGTTCTCGCTCGCTTTTTTTAGAGCTTTCAGTGACACGACCCCAATCTATCCATCCAAACAGCCTCGAGCGAGATGCTCGCGGAGTGTGGAGATGGAGGACCGATTAGGAGCCTTAATTTCTCCTAATCGATCCTCCATCTCCACACTCCACACTTGCCATCCCTACCACGGTTCTTGGAAGTTCACTCATTCATCACGCTGGAAGAAAGATGACCAACAGCGTCAAGAAGAAGGATGGGATAGGATTGGGTAGGATGGGATAGGGTAGGATAGGACAAGATAGGAGGGGTGTGGAGATGGACGATCGATTAGGGGAACAGAAGGGGCCTTAATTTTTGAACCACGTGTCTCCAGGAGAAAAAGTCCGCCTCGGCTCTCCTGTCCCACAGGATCCACACATGGTTTTTAGTCGGTTCCAGTATCCACGAGGTGCGGCGACGGACGTAGTTTTCAGGTGGTGACGGTCCCTCGCTTTTTTTCGGATCTTCGGTTGGTGCGTCGGTTGCTGCAGTTTCAGGACTCAACACACCCTCCTGAAGGAAAGACGTCGAATTTGTGGACGACGACCAGCCTTCTTCATCTCGGTGGTAGTGTTAGAGCAGTCAGCTTGTTTGGTCGTGATGAAGATGTCTGTGAAAGTGAATCTATTTGGCGGATTGCTTAAGTAGGTTTCCCTGCTGACGAGTCAGCTTTATTACGAATGATGCCGGTCGCCTCATCTTGATTCCTTTCTTGCTACCCTTGTATTTTCTTCAACATCAAGAAGACCAAGGAACAAATTGATAATCACGTTTCATCAGCACCACGTGATCTCAAGTAGTAATTATAGAAGTCACATTCGGGCAAAAGGGTACCAACGGGAAGATGCTGAGAAAGATGGACGCTAAGTGTTCTTGTCCAGCATAAAAAGAAGTCGAGTCTCTAACAATGCCAGCTTCTCGTTCTAGCTGGGAGAAAGAAATCGAGCGGGGTGAAGAAGCGCCAGAAGAAGCTCCACCACTGTCTGTTGAAATTGATTCAAGCCCATCTCCTACTGCCCCAGCAGGAACTTTACCGTCCTCGAACTTTTCGCCAGCGCCAGGATGTGCTGCATAAGCGTCTTTTGCCAAGTCGTTTGAATGGGATATGTCTCCCGTAAGTACAATTAGAAAAAGATAAAATTGTGATTATTGATGACGAAGATCGTCGTGGTCTTTGTCGTGCCTACCCGCTACCCAATATACTACTCATATCATGAAAAACACAATAGCATACAACACAAGTTTAGGCGACTTCTTCTAGGACATAGACTGTTGTCATTGCCTTTATTCCTGACCTGCGCTACTAGTGGTTATCTCGTTCTTGCCATTCATAACATCTGGTGAACTTCTGCCTTTCGCGCAGTCGCCCACACGTTCTCCGGGACCAAGAGGAGCTCCTTGCCGTCCTCCTGCGGCTGGTGTAGATCCGCAACTGTTAGAGTAAACTCAATATTATCCACTCTCTATAATTAAGTGAGAAGTAATTATGGCTAGGCTAAACGCAATATCCACTCTCTGTTAGGTTTTAGGTTATGGGGTAAGCACTGTGAGAGTGGGAAAGGTAAACTTCTCTCAACCCTAACAAAACTATGTATTAAAGTAAAAAACTCAATCCACTCTCTATTAGGTGAGAAGTAAAATAAGGTGAAGACGCTCTATTAGATGAGCAGTAGCAGGTGGTCAGTTGTCACAGGCAGAGCGAGGCTTACCTAGTGTAGAATTGGCCTGAATTCGCGGAAGCTAAAGGCGATATGTGTATGTGGTGCCATGGTCAAGCGTTTCGTGTCTCACCCTCCCTGTTGAAACAAAGCTTACACAGTACAACATTCATAATATTCTTATTCATCCACGACATATAAAAATATTCTTACTCCGGTTATTTACACACTCAACAATAAAATAATCATTTTTCTCTACACACGACGCCCTGTTAATGGTATCTACACACTCGCGGCCAACTCCTACTCTTATTCAAACATCACCCAGCAACGAGGTGGAACGAGCCCTGTTGAACATAAGTTTCGTAAGCAAGTGCGTAGATCTAAATACTTCACAAGTTAGCAAGTGCGTAGATCTAAATACTTCACAAGTTAGCAAGTGCGCAGACCTCCCTCTTCATGAGTTAGCAAGTGGGTAGATCATAATTGAGCAAGTGCGTAGGGCAGGCCGTTGGCAGTGATTTCGTGAAATTTCTGTCCATATATACCACCATACTCCTGGACATCAGCACGAAGTGCCCCCTCGTCTGCGGAGGCGTCCGCATCCCCCGGCCCATCCTCATCTTAGAGTTCTTTTTTTGCACTATTTATCAGTGTAGAATGCGAATGGAGACTTGTGAAATATTGAAATTCCTCAACATATGACAATTCCTGTGGAGTATTCTCCTACTACATTTTTACCTGAGAACCATGCCTCTTAATAGTCTGATTTCCAGTATAGGCACCATAGTCAACAAGTCTAACTTTTTCAACATAGTCAGAGGACTTCCAGAGGCATAGTCAAGAACAAGTTGCTTTTTCCTAGTCACACTTCATAGGCAGCCTTCCATAGATACAGTGGTAACGAACTAGTTGCTATAGTGGATTAGTGGTTGTAATCGATTTAGCCTTAATTATCCTCCTCGTCCTCGATGAAAGATGACTTGCCGAACAAACTACCTCTGAATCTTCTAAGTCCACCCGTAACCGCACCAGCAGCACTTTAGAAACAAGGATAGTTTAGGATACATAGGGGTTGACTCGCCGTCCACAGTTGGACCCTCATCCTCCACAGTGGACGACACCGGTTTTGGAATGCAGTTAGACCACCTGCTGGAGGCTATGAAAATGTATGTAAATAAAGTTCTCCAGTAGACGAGGTGTTCGAGTTCGTGATTACTGATCTTTCTTTGTGCTTGAGGCGCATGTTGAGAAGGAAAGACAAGAACAAAGGACGCTGCTTTCACGCTCAGCACTCGGATGGGTGCTACTAGTCATGAGAAAGGAAAAAGCCGAGCTCGCAATAGATATTTGAAATAAAAAATCTAAAAGCTGCCCGCGAGCCGCCTCAGCCCTTGGCGTCCCACCCCCCAGGTTCCAATGGCGGAGGACGAACTGTGAAACTGAAATGAAAATGAAAGTATGTTGCGTCTAGACTCTACTCTGTCTATTGTGAGTGCGTGTGTGACGAAAGGCGAACAGGATAATCTTCATCTTCAAGAAGTAGGAAGTTTAAACAACTCCGAATCCATAGCCTTTTTTAATACTGCTGACCATTTTTTTTCCCGTTTTCACAGGCGTTCGCAAGCCACCAGCAAGATTCATAGTTAGAGCTAAGTTCATGTTCATAACATGATCGATTTGGCGGTCTAAATATCTCAAATCACCTTTTGTTCCCGTTCCAAGGACTACTTCAGCTCACCCGGATATTTTCACTTTTCGAGTACTTTTTGAGGCTTTGCAATCTATGTATAAAAGCCTCCCACTTCACGTGAGAGTGCCTGCTCTGATCAAAAAAAAATGTAAAAATCATTGTAATTCTTGAGCCTTAAGCCAGCTGCACTCACCACCGGTGTCAACCCAGCAGCCACCACTTTTAGAGCCTCGAAAATTTGATCACTTTATCCTTGTAAGAATCTCCCCGCAAAAAAATGTGATGCCCCCTCGACCATCTCCAACACTATCGATTTCTTGTTTCTGAATAAATTGCATGTAATGTTGGCCCCAAGTATTTTTTTGGTCTAAAAAAATTGCATTGCATCAGCTACTCTGGTGCCAAGTATTCATTGGCGGGTCGTGGGGGTGCGTCGGCTTTAGAGGTAGGTTTTTGGTGTTCGTTTATCCCGCTTGTTATGGCTGTCCCCTTACACACTTAGGAGAGCCATAACAACCGGTAACAAAAGCACCTCTAGCCTACCCTTAGTCTATAGTTTTTGTGGGGGGTCAAGGTCATCGCTATGGAAGAGTGAGATAGAGGCATGTCTACCGAGATGGACTACGGGAAGCCTTAACGCTTGCGCCGTCCCTGAAAGAACGCTATTGGCAAGTCCTTTAGTCGCGGCCTTTGCACGCTCAGTGCGGTAAACTTCGATTTTCAAACCCTTCAATTTCACGAACGCGAAAGATGCTTCCACAGGTTAGCGTTAGAAGAGGAATTCTGATGCCTTTGGTTAAAGGTTGGGCTAGTTTCTGTCTATGATCTTCAGTTTCTAGGATTTAGTAGAGGAAGAACATTTCGCCACACTATCAATCTTTAGATAGAGAAAGTAAGTAGTTCACCCTGCACCAGGTCGTTAAGCTTGAGAAAGAAGCAAGAGCGAGGTGGAAGAAGGAAAAACAGAGAAGACGAGGAGAAAAAAAAAAGTGATGTCGATCTATCATGGCTTGAAGAAAAGCTACGGCTACGCAAACAAAATAAATACATAGTTGACGAGGTTAGAAACTGCCTTAGTGCTAGAGCCAGTCTTAGTCTACTAAAGCAAGTGAAAGTGTTACATGAGAATAAATATATAAGATGCTGACCGAGGAAGGCCAAAGACTTAATATTGAAATATACTTAATTCTTAACAGGGTGCCCCAAGGGACGGCTTTAGTTCTAAGGCCACACCAGACTTAATATTTCTTCAAACAAAGTGAGCTAGTTCAGAACTACTTTGTAAGTAGTTTCCACGTTGACGGGGGCCACGCTCTTGTTCTAGTGTTAGTCTAAATTCAAAGACCCCGCCACTCAGCATGGAAGTCTATATTGGACGACCATAGTGAAAAACTACCCTTAGGGTACTTTGTGACAAATCACCATGAGCCAGCAAGTCGAGAGTTGTAATATAAGACTGTCTAGTAGTAGTCACGTTCTCTATAATATTTTTTGCCCTAATCGGTGTCCGTGTTCGTGTCACCCGCCTCGGTTGCTTGAGTGCCGTCGGAAACCAAGGCCATGTAGTATTAGAGACTGCAGCATTACACGACTCGTCAGGGCGTCCTCCTTGGAATTTTATTCTCTTCTAGAAACAAAAAGCCAAGGATGGTCGTGCGGGATGTAATTTGGCCTTAATAGTAGAAGTCCATCCACCCAGAATTGCCACAGGCTGATGGAAAGGGTACAGATATTTTGCCGTTGCTTTGCCTCTCGAACAATGGCAGCTGGACGTAGCACTTTACGAGCGGTTCGTCCTCCTTGCGATCCTTGCATTCCTTTCCGAGAGCGCTACTATATCGTCCACCCAAGCGCTCGAAAAGCATAGGAACAGTCCCACAACGGATCCAAATTTTCGAAAAATGCATCTCTTTCTCCTGGTCAACAACTACATTAGAGCTATTCGATAAACTGAAATAAGCAAGTACCAGACGACTGAGTAAACTTCTCAGATACTCGGTTACTTCATAGCTCTCCGCTTATTTCCAGACTTCGAGTAGTTTTTCACGATGGTTTTATGCCTCCATGCCTCGTGCTGGTGGAGTGGGTAACTGTCCTTATTTGCCTCACTTAATATTGTGAGTTAGTTTTATGCCTCTGTGCCTGGAGGTGGATTCTCTTCTTGCTTGCCGTTGTGATCAAATTCAGGTTACCAAATTCCAGAACCACTCATTTTTACGTTGTGCTCCTTGTGAGGGATTAATTATATACTCTTGAGTTATGTATGTATGTATGTATGTATGTATGTACCCATTCCAGGGGTTTGAAAGACTAGACTACTCTACTTATGTCCTTTAGTTGCGTTCCCTTGATAGACTTTGGTTTCATTCATTCATTCATTCATTTACCTGTTCTGGAGGTATCTTTTGACGCTTGAGCGACATATAACTTAATTACTGCTTCGACTCTTCCTTCTTCTTAGCACATGTTTGTTCTTCCCTTAATTGTACCCCCGGCTCCGGTTCCTGCTCGTGCTTCTGATGTACTAGGACTCGGAACGTCGAGGCCATAAGTAGGTAATGCGGGAACGCACTGGCCTGGGCGTAGGTTGTTACTGCTGTCAATCCGCCCAGGAATCCAAGAGTGACTGGCTGTTAGAGCTCAAAACGATGAAGAAGAAGAACATACACAGCATGATGACGAAGACGGTCTTCGGAAGACCACGTCTACGGAGGTAGCTATTTACGCAGAAGACCACGCTACTTACGGAGGTAGCTACTTCTATGATGGAAGAAGAAGGGTCCTAAGAATGAACTCTGTAAGGAAATAGATACATAGAAGAGAGAAGCTGCGGTGTTGACTTCATTTCGATTTCTTCCAGTTGTCCGTCACCGTCCTAAGAAGGAATACCAAATAGGAGGAGGTAGTATTATTCAAATCCTCATCTGACTGAAATTCTACAGCGAAACATTTTTTCGGTTTTTTTTTCAGTTTCAGCGGTACCACCTGTCTTCTTCTAGAAATGGAATTCTAGCGGCTTCCTTAGGATAGGATAGGAGTTGACTCGCTGCCCACAGTTTGACCTGTACCCTCGGGCAAATATGCGTAGCCGCAGAGGGACTACCAATCGTTAATCATCTTTTTTATTCGATTCCTACTTCTTGTAGCTAAGAAGTTGTAGTAGAAACCAAAGGCATGCGTTTATTCTCGAAAACTCAAAATAAGCGAGCTACTGACTGAAGTAAGAGAGTCTTGACTACGTTCCTCTTCTCTCAATATCAATCTCCCTTATTTTCAATAGTTACTCGGTTATTTCAGTTTTTCGAATACATTAACAAGGTTCAGACTCTAACGTTAGCATTACTTAAGTAGTTCGATTTCATTATTCTGTTTCTTCCTGTGGTCGTAAAGCTGGATACTCAATGGTTTCATGGTTCGCGTCTGCACTTTTATACCAGTCGGCCACACCGATCGCACGCTTCTTCATGTTGTGACAGCCAGCCTTCGGATTCGACTCTTCCGCTTTTTCATCCTCATACTGGTTAGAAAATAAAGTAAGCGAGTAACAGAACAGCTGAGCTGCTGAAGAAGGAGGCTAGCTCTCTTTATTTTTTGCAGTCACTAACACAGGCATTTCAAGATTTCGAGTGTCAGCAAGATGGCATGGCAAGTGTCTCTTCACATAGACTACATTTCCTAGTTTTAGCACATAAGAGGACCAAGGCGGCTATTGATAATTCGTGGTGGAGCAGATCTAACTATCAAGACCATCGCTATTGAAGATAGTCAGCAGTTCTAGTTCTACTAAAAAAATGTAGTGACTACGCTTGTTAATAAGCAACACTTGTTCTACTCAAATGTGTCGTTCTCTAACGACCACTTAAATGTGTTGCATAGGAGTCAAAAATATGGACAATATAATATGATAATGATTGCTACTCCCCGAGGATCCTGAGAAAGAAAAAGATGGAGAAAAATGACACCAAAAGCATTATGCGAAAAACTGACATAAGCGAGTAAGCTCGGGAATAATTTCAGATAGATCATACTCTCTTATTGTGTGAATTACTCGTTTATTTCAACAAGATTACGTTGACTTTAAAGATTAAGATCATTGGACATGACTTTAAGGATTAAGATCATTGGACAAAAGTATTACTTTAATGCAAGAAAAGGATAATTACTTTAATGCCAGAAAAATATTACTTTAAAGCAAGCAATTTATTACTTACTTTAAGGATTATAAGATTATTCATAACCCCGTCTCCTGACTCTTTGGGTGGCATCCAATATTCCGCCAGTCCGAGTTTTGTGTATGTGCCCGTGTTAGAGCTTCCAAAAGTACAAAATGAAGACACTTCCAAAAGCATTATGCGAAAAGCTGAAATAAGCGATTATGATGTTCTTCGATTTCTGCAGAGACCCAAGAAGGAAACTGCGAGAAAGGCATCGACGTAGAAGGAAGGAAAAAGCGCACTCACACTCAAGAAAGTAGCTCCTTTCCTACTTGAATCCTAGTCAATTTGTTGGCCTTAACCTCTCCTCCAGCGACTTCGTAAAACTCAACTCCACCCGGGTCGAGAGGATCCATCGAGCCAACGGCTTCTGCGGCAGCGGTAGATGTTAGAGATGAAGAATATCAAGAACTAGAGATAGATAGATAGATAGATAGATAGATAATAGATGTACTACTCACTCATGGGGTATATCAAGAAGGAAGTCGAAACGAATGATGCCAGTGCTACTAGACGTAGTGTAATAGAGATGCGCCTAACCATAGATGAGGTATAAGTGAATGGGCGATGACTTCTAGACATAGAGTGGACACTTGTGGCCCATATAATTTCGAAAACTCAAAATAACCGAATTAGTGACTGAAATAAGGGAGGTAGCTTTGACAGGGCTACTCTTCCTTGTTCAGTATCTTCTCGCTTAGTTTCAGCAGTTACTCGCTTATTTACGTTTTTCGATATTGGCTATGTCTCTGCTCTAAATCCATGCCACAATAGAGATTTAGATCAGAAAAGGGGCTCGATGGTGTACTTGTTGTAAACTTACTACTAGTACTAGCAAACGACTGCAAGAACCACTTTCGCACTGCGTGAAGCAAAAACTAAAATTGTCTTCAAGAAAATGAAAAATTATGAGTGGATGATCCAAAGAAGTAATATATTATATATAAGTCCTTAAGCTTGTAGCCTTGTCTTCCGCCAGGGTCGCTGCTGGGTTATCACCTCCGTCAGGTGCCTCCAGCGCCTGCGCATGTGCTTCTACATTTTCTTCCGCATCACCAAGGGCCTGGAAATTCGCATCCTTTCTCTCATCTCCATCTGCATCTTCTTGCCTCTGCTGCGTCTTCTCCTCCGCCTTTATCTTAGATGGTTTGGAGAAGTACTATAGGGGCTTTCATTTTGCCTCTTGTTCAGAGAACTCTATCGAGGCTCGAAGTATTATGTTTATGGTGGGGGACAAAGATATATCATATAGACGGAATGATCGGTATGAAAGCACAAAGATCAATATTATCAACATTCAAACAAGATCGGATATTGGCAACTAACGTCCCTTACCCATGGCTGGATCTTTCTGACTGACTTAAGTGCTATGCTTATGGTGGGGGGCAAAGATATATCATATAGACGGAATCAGTATAATTATGAACGTTCAACGACGAGTTGTTGTATGAATTTTCAACAATTATAACATACTGATGAAGGTCTTCCTAGAAAGGCTTCACGGCGACATTCGCTGTGCTCAAAGTTTCAATTATGTTGCCTTAAGCGCTGCACGAATCGCGGCAGATGCCGCTGTGTCGCTCGTCGTGGTTGAATGAGCAAGAATTTGAAGGCAATGCTCTGGACCGGATATCCTTGCCATTACCCATTCGACGGCATTTTGATCGTCGGCCTGATTTGGAAAGTTTGCTAGCTATTACGTTCCAGCTTCTCTATTACCATTACGCGAACTACGTGAGTAGTGGTAGCTACTACGTTGTAGCCCAGGTAGTTGTCACGTGTACTAGGTTAGGTTATTGCTTAGTTTGTGGCCGTACGCGGCTATACATGCATGGAGGTGGTGGTCAAGTGCTGTACCAAGTATGCCTTTATTAATCTTGCGCTACAAATGCATACCTGTGGTCAAGTGTGCCAAGTATGCTTCTTCTAATAAATAATATCATAATAGTACACGACGATCACTAGGTAGTCTCGTAGTCTAGTATTATTACAAAGATGGTTAGGAGCGTCGCGCAGTACTACGCAGTAGTGCTAGGATTATCCATCTTTATTCATTCTGTTGGTCATGTATGGTTCAAGCCTCTCGGATGTCGTGGCGTTCTGTTCTCAGTGGCTCGCACAAAGCCTCGCGTTCGACTGTCATCGGGATGATCTCACAAGACACGAATGTTAATGATCATGAATGCTACTTCCAATGCACACTCAATGCACATTCAGCGCATAATCATAATGATCAATGCGTAGACTAGGTACGTGTGTACTGATCCTAGTCGTACGATGCATGTTCAGTCCGATCCCTTCTGACATGCTTATGGTGCTGATGTATGATTCATCTTACCCAATGAACCAAACAGGGACTACACCAGCCAGAGATCGCAAGTCTCAGGCAGGAGTATCAAGATTTGCTTGCATTCAAGATTCTGACTTTGTGTTTCCACTGAGAAACGAACCAAGGCACGGAGGCCTGTGCTCTTGTGGTCCAACACTGGTCTAACCCTTAAGCGGCAAAAGTAAAATAAAATTGGAAGTAGTGTAGTAAAATAAACAAATCCATCAAAATGTCCTGCGAGGCCAAGGAGATCCTCAAGAAGTTGGGACAGAAGTCCGACTGGCGCGAGTGGCAACGAGCTGTACGTCAAGAAGCTAGTCGCCTAGGCTTACTTGAGAACTACACGAATGTAGTCAACGTGCCGGCCGTTCCACATGGTATACCGCAAGGTAATGCCAGTCGTGAAGAAACGACCCGCCAGAAGTGGCGCAACCTGAAAGACGTAATCATACGAAGTCTGAAAGGTGCGGCCAAGTCGTTCGTCGACAATCGGAATAACGATGGCGCGGTGGACGAAATGGATGCTGGTGAAGTTGTTGCTCTACTTCGTGATCAAGGGAACTTCAACGCGAACAATCGCCAGGAGCAGCGCATGAAGGTCAAGCCGTTGTCGGAGGGACTGACGAAGTTCCACAACAGCGACCAGCCTGCAGATGTCAAGGAGTTCCTCTCGAAGATCCGCGACATCATGAACCAATCGCCCACCGTCTTCCCGCCGGATGCAGATCTGCCCGACGCTGATCAACAGAGCGGAGCGATCCTGCTGAAGTTGCCTGAGTTGTTCTGCAAGAACTTCAAAGCGACTATCGAGCGGATGCAAGAACAAGATGGCCTGACATTTGACCAAATTGGAGACCGACTTGAGAAACGTCTCACAACGTTGATCGAGGAGGGAACCTACAAAATTGAGAACGACTCCTTCGGGAAAGCGTTTCCGGTCAATGTTCAGGAAACCTCGAACAAGCGTCCTCGTGATGATAAGAATGAGGATGATGACGAGGTAGAGGCCAATAAGGCAGATGGTAAGGCCTTCATTTCCGCTAACGCCCTCAAGCGTTTCAAGCAGAAAGAAAAGAAGAAGGCAATCGCCGAGGTCTACAACTCCTACGGGTACCAACCCAAAGGAGGAAAGAACGGCGGACAAAAGCCGAAGAAAGACAAAGGAAAAGGAAATAAGAATACCTATCCACCCCGCTGCGCTTGCTGCCACAAGGTCGGACACAAGTCCTCCGAGTGCTGGCATAACACGCAAGCCCTTCAACAGGGACAGGGAAGTTGGACTACCGGAGCCGCATCTAGTAGTTCTAGAGGCAAAGGTGGAAAGGGTAATATCAGTGGTATGATCCACATGTCGCAGGTTGCGGAGATGCTCAACTTCATGAACTCGCACAACCGAAGCTGAGCGACGGAACCGTACGAATTTGGGAAGTGTTCGCTGAATTTCGAAGAAGATGAAATAATAACAAATGCTGATAATTATGCTGATAGCTACAATACAGATGGATATAGTTTCACAACATTGAACACTAGAACATCAGAAGAAGCAACTCTAGTTGACAGTTGTGCAAACAAATATCTTTCACGACACATAGATGATTTTGATGAAATTGGTTACAACATCTGTAGAATAACAGGTAGTGCAGGTACTAAAGACGGAAAAGTCGGAAAACTCAAGAACAACTTATTTGGACTAAAGAATGGAGTTTACTATGATTCTCTACCTGGAAACATAGATCGCTTATTGCCATGGTTAGGAGACGGAAACTGCTCGCAATTAGGGTGGGAGTTTAATTTCAAAGGCTCTGGTGGTTGTATCGTGCACACGGACACCGTCCAGATGCTACCCATCAGAGCTCACCCACGCTTGCAGCTACCCGTTCTCGCATGTAATTTCTTTGAAAACAAACATGAAATTGGTTTCACTTGCTCATCTATTGAAGAAGGTGTCTCTAGTTGCTATCTTACGAGATTAGAACTACACAGGAGATGTGGACACTTTCACATAGATGGTTTACAAGTTAGTTGCCCAGAATGTGACCTACATAAAGGACAACGAAAATCCCACGCAAACTCTAGAGATATGACCACCTACAAACCTGAACCCCTCAAACTACTTGCAATAGACTTTGCTGTAGGAATAAAACCTGTTTCAGTAAGGTCTATGAGATGTGTTCTAGTTGTCATATGTGACGTAATTAAGAAGGCGCTTTGTCGACCGCTGAAGCTTAAAAGTGACTGTGTGGAGGACATAGAACAAGTCATAAAAGGCATTCGACAGGACTACTCCTTATCGCTAGATGACAAGGTAGTATGGTTCATCCGGAGGGATGGCGAACCAGTCCTCGGTAGTGATGACATGACCAAACTCATGCAATCGCTGCGGGTCTCAGACAGTCCGGCTGTTCCTTATAGTCCGGAAATGAGTGGGACTGTTGAACGTTTTATGCGGGCCTTGTTTGGCAGCGTGAGAACAATGCTAACGAAGGTTGATCGACGTCTTTGGTGTTACTGTGTTGAGTACGCTAGTGACTGCTGGGATCGTCTTCCGCATAATTACGCCAAAATGCCAGAACACGATGGAAAGAGTCCAATAGAGATTCTAGAAGAAAGAACTGGTAGAAATTCTTCCAAAAGCAAAATCGGCATGCTCCGCCGATTTGGTTGTCTTGTTTACTTTCGTGAACAAATCCAAGCCAACACTCCTGAACCCAAGCTCTCGGCCAAATATCGCCGTGGCGTCTTCCTTGGACTCTGTCCGAAGTCGTCTGGTTGGTTGGTTGCTACTTTCGCTCATGACGATCGTTGCAAGCTTGGATATCGATGGGCGGAATACTCTACCTTAGATGTCAAGTTCAGAGAGGACTATCTAATAAAGGACATAGACTGGCTAACGCCAGATAGAAAGGGCTTTTACTATGAGTGCGATGAACTGGAAAACTTGCAGTGTGGAGCGTCGTCGCTGGGCTCCCCCTTGATTGGGCAGTCAGTGCAAAGGCTGGATCAGCAATCGGGGTTCTCTGGCACGGAGCGCACCTCAGGTGGACCGACCGGCATTCCCGAAGAACTATATGTTGAAACCTTAGACAAGAAGGCTGAATCCGACGTGACTGACTCTCCTAAAGGTGCTTCACTTGAGGAGGGGAAAGTTGAAACGAAGGATCGGATCTCTGACTCACCTAGTCCGACTAGATCGAAAGCGCTATCTCCCGCACGTGTTGTGGCAGGCGAACGCCATACACACGGCAAGAAGCGTGGCCGACCGAAAGGAGCCAAGGACAAGGCTGGAGGAAGGATTCGTAGAACAAAGAAACAGATGGAAGAACTCAGAAAGAGTTTAGCGCTGTTCGCAAGTGCTATTGGTGGCACGTGTGAGATAGACGAAGATGAGGAAATCGTCGAGTCACATGTGATACTGTCCGTTGCCAATGCATTAAAGAGTCCTGAAGCTGAAAAGTGGAAGGAAGTCATTGACATGGAGCATGCGAGACTACTAGCCTTTAAAACGTGGGAAGAAGCTACTGACGAGCAGCTAGCAACCGCGTTACGGGCTCTACCAATTGCCATCATACTAACACGAAAGAGATGTGGAAAATACAAGGCAAGAGCCTGTGTACTCGGTAATTTAGATCGTTCGGGAGAGCTAAACACCTTTGCTCCCGTGGTATCACATGCCGCTAATAGGTTGCTCCTCACTTCTGCTGCGTCAGAAGGGGACTATGTGATCCCGTTCGATTTAGATTCAGCGTTCCTCAATGCCGAACGCGATCGAGATGTCTACTGCCGTCTTCCACCCATCTGGGCGAAGCAGCACGGATACGAGATCGTGAAGCTCAAGAAAGCTCTCTACGGCTTGAAGGACGCACCACGAGCATGGTTCAAGAGGTATCGCGAGACTCTAGCCAGTCTTGGTTGGGAACCGTGTACTTCTGCGCCTGGATTGTGGCGCAAACCGAGCAGCAAAGCACCGGGGAAGTTCCTGAAGATGTCTGTCTATGTAGATGACAATCTTGCTACAGGTCCTGACCAAGATGAGCTCAAGACCGAACTAGACCTCATTTTCACACGTGCTCCAGGCCGTGCGATTGAAGTCGAGTCAATTCTAACCCCCTGGGGTCTCGAATGGCTAAAGTTCGACTTCTTAGGTGCGATCGTGTACTATGGCCGTGAAGCTAAGTCGTTCAGACTGTGCATGGAGCAGTACATCGATAAAATTGCTAAGAAGTATGAAGCTCAACTAGGGAAACCGGTTTACTCGCCCAATTTTGACGAAACAACTTTTCTTGAAGACGGGATCAAGATAGTTGATGGGTATCCCTTTCGTGAGGTAGTTGGTGCCTTACTATGGGTAGCTGTAACTGCGCGCCCGGATATCTCTGCTCCGGTAGCAGCGTTGGCTAGACATGTCAGCAAACCCACGTCAACAAGAATGGCCAAAGCAGCCAAGAAAGTCCTAAAATGCCTGGTGTCAACAAAAGACCAAGGAGTAGAATACTCACCAGAAAAGGAAGAAGAATTCAACAAAATATATGAGAAACTTCTACCAGAAGGCAGAGACATGCCAGAAGTAAACATATTCAGTGATGCTGGTTTCGCGAACTGCATCAAAACAATGAGGAGTGCTAGCGGCTCCATAATGTACTACAAAGGTACACCCATAGCATGGAGAAGTAACAGACAAACGGCTAGAGCCTACTCAACGGCTGAAAGTGAGTATATTGCAGCCTCTGACACGATAGTGCTCAGTGAGATGCATGACTTCACAGACTTCGATAGGCCTCTTCCAACTCAGTTGGTACACACACAGAACGGCTTGTCTCCCTCCTTAGACAATGCTGTATTGTGGATAGACAACCAGTCTGCGATCACAACAGCCAAAGCAACAGACACTCGCCCTAAAAGTAGACGCTATGCTTTACGTTATCTAAGAGTACGCGACGCTGCTAGTAAGATCGTGCTCTGCCCTACCAACTTGATGAAGGCAGACCCACTTTCGAAACTAACCTGCAGTGCCACTCAGCGTAGACTTATCCTACACCACATAGATAACCCGATAACTACATGTAAAGAAGATAATTGTGATTCCTCTGATGATGAAACAGATGGGGATGATTTAGCTTATTATAGCGTAATATATTCGGTTTATTTCGGTTTCTAAACCACCGTAGCCAAGTCACATACACTAAACAAGAGATGTGATTACCGTGACCCAACACACAGTGAGGCGGTCACGTGAGACGGACTTCGACCCGCATCGATTGAGGAGGGGTGTTGGTCATGTATGGTTCAAGCCTCTCGGATGTCGTGGCGTTCTGTTCTCAGTGGCTCGCACAAAGCCTCGCGCTCGACTGTCATCGGGATGATCTCACAAGACATGAATGTCAATGATCATGAATGCTACTTCCAATGCACACTCAATGCGCATTCAGTGCATAATCATAATGATCAACGCGTAGACTAGGTACGTGTGTACTGATCCTAGTCGCACGATGCATGTTCAGTCCGATCCCTTCTGACATGCTTATGGTGCTGATGTATGATTCATCTTACCCAATGAACCAAACAGGGACTACACCAGCCAGAGATCGCAAGTCTCAGGCAGGAGTATCAAGATTTGCTTGCATTCAAGATACTGACTTTGTGTTTCCACTGAGAAACGAACCAAGGCGCGGAGGCCTGTGTTCTTGTGGTCCAACACATTCATTCACTCATGTTCGCTTTATATAAATTGTGGTGGAGCCGACCTAACTAGAAAAAAGACAGACCAGACAGAGGAAGATATAAAAGAGAAAAGGGCAACTATCAACAAGTATCCTAAAGTACTTCTACTTTGGGATAGGAAAATGAGTCTGGGCGTAGATTATTCCATCCTCGGACTGAACATCCACACACGCGTGGTAAGGATGACAATTATGACAAAGATTACATACAGTAAAAAGATTATCTATGTATTTTTACCTTTACCGTCAGATGTAGTTGACTTATTATTTACTAGGAAAAACACAGAGCAAGCGAAGGCTGTACTTCTTTAAAGAAGAAAGTAGACTACCACAAAGCCTTTTTCATCCGAATTCACTTTGACTGCGAGGACTCTCGGAGGTTCCGCATTGGGCTGATCAGAATCCAGGCTGATGTAGCGAACGTGGTAATATTAGAAGAATCGTCATGCTTGTTCAGATGAGGTCGATCGAGCCACGACGCTATCATGTTCACCGACCCCACAATAATTACAGTGCAGATCTGCTCGGTGTCGCACTGGTGTAACTAAGCATGTCATGGTCGTGCGTTCACTCCGTGCTGTAGTCCTTACTATTAATACATAGAAGACGCAGCCTAGTGTGTGCTGCTTTTAGTTTGAGTGGTTCTCGAATTTGGTAGCCTGAATCTAATCACGCTGATTCTTTTTTTTCTTGTTCTCCCTTATGATCAAAATCGGGCTACATTCATTCACTCATATGCTGCACCGTGGCACTTTTTTTTTGATGCCTGGGTCTAAGTCTACAGTTCTCGCTTACCCTATCCCGCGAGAAGCCTGAAGCACTACGGCCATGGTCCTAAAACTACGCAAACGATTAAGCACGACGGCAATCGCTGCGGATGAAGCCTAGAGCGTTAAATAAGCGACCGCGATCGATCTATCAGAATTATCCCAAGCGAAAACCATATGGGCTTATACGGCTGGGCAACCTAAGAGCCTATGGCTGGGCAGTCTTGAACTGAATACCAGAACAGTAGTGCATAGTTTAACTATTCGTTATTGTTCACCATCCGCTGGGATGCGTAGTATGCATGTAGACCACCTTAGAATTTCAAGAAGTATTGAGAGACCTGTTATGTTGCTTCTGGGCCTCGTCCGTTAGATTTTCCTTGGCTATATTCATAGACCCTACCTTACTCCTAATGCACCAGAGCTGTAGAAGCGGTCCTTACTCTTAATACTAGAAGGCACACCCTAGTACTAGTAGTAGTAACGTTAGATTCGGTCGCTATTAGCACCTACACTGGTACGGCTCCATAATATATTCCTGCTTTTATCGGACCTCCGATAACTTCCGAGCATTCAGTGAAGCGCATCGACATCTGTTCCTCTGTTTTTGAGGCAAAAGGTAAAGCGTGAAACACCCTTTTTCCGACCTGCACATCGCTGTATTGTATGAAGGAGGTGACGATCAGAAGATGGAAGAGATCAGAAGATGAACATCTTCCGTGTTCATCCTTCTAAATCCGGATCAGGAGGATCAATTTCCGAAGTTCATCTTCAACTTCTTCGGTACTTTAGTACTCGATGATCTACTTCGCGACTTTGACTAAGAGTAAGAAGTGTAGTTCGCTACTTCAGTACTATCCTCTTTACGTTCAGGCTCGCTACAACTATTCATCTTGTTCACGTTCACTACGATCCTCATCGCTAAATACTTCCTATCCTCTTCTATACAACTTCACGACTAACGTTCCGCGTCAACTTTACTCGCCCTTTTTCTGTTACTGATGGGACGCTAGTACTGTCCCCATGAAAGGCAGGGGAGAAATCATCACCACCACCATCATCGTCGTCGTCACGTTGTAGTCCTCCTAAACCTGCTACCTAGAAAACCTGCTACCCACCTCCAAAAGGAAAGACTTGCTGTAGGACTTAAGAGACACCTTCGTAAATAAGACTGATCAAATTCAAAATCATCAACTTCAACATCATCATCATTAATATGTTTCAAATGCATGACCGTTCTCTACTCAACAGGATAAATATCTCTCTATTTATATAAACTAATAGATAATATATAAAGAGACTGAGACATCTTGTTCTTCGTAAATTTTCCCAGGATTAGCATTCCCTGGTCGTCGAAATTCCATTCCAAGAATCGGTTTTGTTTTTGTGGCGGCAAAACCAGCATCCGGACAGGGTTTAGAACCTCTCAAGGAACATCTCTCGGAACATCTTTTAGCACCTTTCAAATTGAAAGTGGCTAGAAGAGAAAATTGGAAGAGATGGGTGGCTAGAAGATCGTCTAAGAGAGCAAAAGAAAAGAGTGCTGCAACAAAAAAGGAAAACTGATACTCGCTTCGCCATAAAGGGTTCAGCAACGTCTTTTCCTGCGGATTTTCTTTCGTATTAGGCACCTGTGCCGCAAGGTGCAAAGTATGGAAGATGTTAGTTTTTTCTCTCCTTTACTAGAGGCAAGCCATACAGCAGTTCCAAGCTACCTTTTTCGTTCCCATTGAAGTAGCAGGAGTAGTAGCAGTAGTGTGCCCAGTCTAGAGGAATTATAGAAGAAAAGCCAACTAATTACGCATGGGGGAGGCGCCTCGGCCATGGTCTGTCTGTGTTCTTGTTCTGGTATTCGGTACTAGCCTGATTTTGATCATAAGGGAAAACAAGAAGAGGATCCTTGCGATCAAATTCAGGCTGCCAAATATACTCCAGAGCCATTCACTGCTAAAGATGGGAGAGAAAAAACATCATCCACCTCGTACAGTGCGGTAGTGTCCAGAATGGACTGTAGGTCAAACGCTGCGCCATCTGCTTCACACTGAAGACCTGGCACTACGCCCTCTACCACACGGATTTCCCTTGTTGCTCTCATTAGAATTGTCCCATTCTGCCTCTGTGCGTTCCTGATGATGTTAGTCGGTTCGGATTGGACCTACGACTTCTCTGCGCATCCCTAATAGGAATATAGCACCTACATGCAGCATGAATCGATGTAGACGCTTCAGTGAATGTTTTTCGGAAGACTTGAAATAGGTTGTCTCGCGGTGGAGCACCTAACCTAGATTTTGTTCCTATTCAGATTCAACGCGCGGCGTCGGCTGGTGCCCTCGAGAGCTAGGCTATAGAATTTGGGTTCGGGGGTTAGGGTTGGGTTATGGATCCTGGACATCGAGCTACGCCGGCACCTGCCCGACTCCGAGAATGATACTTCAAAATCAATTTTGAAATTACTGTTGTAATTGTAATAGTAAGTGTCCTCGTAAGAACGACTCCTCTCTAATCTTCTGCTTCACGCGGAACAACAGATCCGGATGCACGTAGAGATAAATGATCTCGTTCTTTCCGGTGTGAGTCAATTTCTTTGCCGCTTGCCCTTCTGTTAGAGGATCCGGATCACACCCACCCGCGTCATGCCACCTAGAGGAGCCGCTACGCGGGCATAAGTGGACCACCAAATGGACAGCCGAGAAGTAGGGCGGAGGAAAATACTAGATGAGACACCAACAGGAGGCGCTACTAGTAGGCCGCCTAGGCGCTACTAGTAGGCTGCCTAGGCGCTACTAGTTAGAGGCGGTACTAGTTGTAGACTCTATGACTGCTAGTTCCTACGACAGTTGATGACAATCTAGTAAGAGGCTCATCTGTCAGCATGATCGCCAAGATGTCAAGATGTATTTGGGTATGCTCCTGTAGAAGAACTAAAAGCTCCAACACCTTGTCTTTGTAAGTGATTTAAGGGTACAGGTCAACGCCTAAACCACTGAGGGGTAGGGGTTTAGGCGTTGACCTGTACACTTATCAGTAACTTAAGACGTAGGGGTATAAGGATAGACCGTCTATGTCTTCTAAGAGATGAGAAGTGCTCAGGAGTGTTTCATTCATAAGAGGTTTGCAACGTTGTCGTCTGTGTTGCCCAGCACAAGCGCGTCGTGTAGACCATCGATAACATCCTGAAACCGAGCCGCCACAACATTAGAGTCGAAGTGGACGAGGAATTTTTAGTAAATCACAACTAAAAATTTTTGAAAATCGCGAATAAGGCGGAAGTTAGCTTTTGAGGGCGACTCTTCTCAAGTAGATAGTATCCGAGTGAGAAGAGTAGCCCTCAAAAGCTAACTTCCGCCTTATTTCAGTCAGTAACTCGCTTACTTCCAGTTCTTTTCGACTAGATGGTATCTTTCTTGTAATTCAACAAGACCATAATGTTTATTCCACTCCCAAGCGGGTCAAAATCGGTGCTGAGCCCGCACATTCTGCGGAACGCCCTAGTAAAGGTAGAGAAGTGTGACAATGATAATATATTTGGCTTCATCAACATGCTCCTGCAAGGTACAGTTACTTAGAAAGCAATCTTCTATACTAGGTAAACAAGAAGCGAATCCTTGTGATCGAATTCAGGCTAGTACCAAATACCAGAGCCACACAGTCCAGATTAAGATATAGCATCAAAAAAAAATACCCATTAGCAGTGTTGAGCATCCTCCAACCTCGCTCAGTGAATGGCACCGGAAGCAGCAACTTTTTTTGGATTTTTTTGGATTTGGATCAGTAGCTGTGAAGTATTTTTGGAGTACGTAGGTTGGTTATGGCTTTAAGTAGCGTAGGTTCAACTCTGAATCGCTGTGATGTCAAGCTAAGTAGCTGGCATTGTTGAATAAAGTGTTTTTCAAAACTATCACGATCGCAAAAAAAAGCAGAAGCAAAAGCAGCTGACTGCTAGAAAAATATCAACATTGATGCCATCCATCTCGTATAAAGTCGCGTGGTCACCAGTGCGATAAATGGGGAGTCAATGCCAGAAAAGTATCTACTGTGCCACTACCACTAGATGTAGTAGATCTAGATACATAGTACTAGATACTTTTCTCTACTATATCTACTACAACTACAAAACTCAGTATCCTCTGCAAGAGCTGCTTCAGAATTTTCTAGTTTTCAGTAGTGGAGCCAACCTGACAAACTAGGAAAAGACCGAAAAAAACAGAAAGTGATAATCAAGAATGTCATGTAGTTAGGTCACGTCACCTTTGTTTATCCTGAACTCACTGTCAGAAGCAACGCTTTGCGACAAACCGGAACCTCACAAGGAGAGCAAGGATGTCCCCGAGTGAGAAACTAAAACGATGACGATGATGATGATGCGATGGACCGAGGAAAACCAATACCAAGGTACTTTATAATTGTATGCCTTCCAACGATGATCAGCATGATATCAAGACTACCTCCAACCCGAACTTGTACACTGTACTTGAAGATGAAGTTCATCAACAGTCATAAGGACTACCAACCCCTTGCCGTTCCCCTTGTGTTCTTATGTAATACGAAGTTGTTGAACTGGAAGTTGAAAAGAGACGTAGTACCTAGCCGACACTCCTGTGAAAACAGCTCGCTGGTGCTAACACTAGGGTACTCAAAAATGTGGATTAAAAAGTA